TGGCTGAGGATTTCTGGGAGTTGAAGTCCACAAGTCATAAAAGGGCCAAGTTTGAAGACTCCTGGTTTAAGGGTTTTGGTTTCAGCTTCAGTCAAGAGACAGACTCCAACATATTTAAATGAAGCCCTCTTGAGTCACTGGGCCCCCCCAAATATTATTCCAACCTTAACCACATTTTCCTTTTATATTGCCCTTTGAAAGTTTAAGAAAAGGTAGTTGTGCTCAGCCACTATGAAATCTGTTGTGATGAGATGGGCAGAGCACAAACTGCAGGATTACCTCAAACCCTCTTCCCCATCCTAGAAATGGGCTTTGATCACTACGATTTAGTTTTGGTCACCACGATGTAAAAAAGATGTTGAGACTCTAGAAAGAGTACAGAGAAGAGCAACAAAGATGATTATGGGACTGGAGGCTAAAGCATATAAGGAACGGTTGCTAGAATTGGGTATGTATAGTTTAACGAAGAGAAGGACGAGGGGGGACATGAAAGCAGTGTTCCAATATCTCAGGGGCTGCCACAAAGAAGAGGGAGTCAAGCTATTTTCCAAAGCGCCTGAAGGCAGGACAAGAAGCAACGGGTGGAAACTAATCAAGGAGAGAAGCAACCTAGAACTAAGGAGAAACTTCCTGACAGTGAGAACAATTAATCAGTGGAACAGCCTGCCTCCAGAAGCAGTAAATGCTCCAACACTGGAAGTTTTTAAGAAGAGACTGGACAGCCATTTGTCCGAAATGGTGTAGGGTTTCCTGCCTGAGCAGGGGGTTGGACTAGATGACCTCCAAGGTCCCTTCCAACTTTACTACTATTACTATTACTAAGTCAATATTGTTGGTAGAAGCAAATTAAACATCTGGAATCTCAAGTTCATTGCACAGAGCAACTCTCTGCATACAAGAATGCAGAATGTCACTTTACTTATTATTTGGCCGACCCACAGATATATAATACACTACTCTTATTTTGATCTCTATTCAGATTGCTTTCCTTGCACCTGGTGTCACAGCATCTTTATTTTAGCTCAGAATAATAATATTAAGTTGAATTCTAATATAGACGCTTGGGATAGCTTCCAATTTATTTATTTTCCAGTTTTGAGGCTGCTTGATTCCTGAATAACTCTGGGCTGCTTACAAATAAAACAAAAATTGTCCATATAAAAAGAAATCACAACCAACTGAAAGCACAGTACAACCAGTCACAAAACCAAAGTTAGTTGAAGGAGCTTCCATATCCATCCTATTCCAAGATTTCAGACAACAGCTATGTTTTTAATAATTTCTTGGAGGATAAGAATGCGACATATGTTTGAGGGAGGGAACTTAATTTTTAAGCACTTCTACATAATTGAAAATCTTGAATGACATTATAATGTCTAGCAGACATTACATGTTGACAGTTCACAGAATATAGTTTAAAAAAACAGCGACAGAATGTCTGAAACCATAAATCTATATGGTTCCAATTCTAATGATGTTTGAAAACTTATTGCTGCTTCCGTGCCTGGGAACAAAATGGTTGTTGAAACTCTGTTGTTGTTGTGGGTTGGTTTTTTGGGGGGAGGGGGGAGAGGGAGAAAAGTACAAACTACCCAGAGCCTCTAAATTTAATTAGATACATATACACACACACACACACACACAGAGAGAGAGAGAGAGAGAGAGAGAGAGAGAGAGAGAGAGAGAGAGAGAGAGAGAGAGAGAGAGAAACATATATACAGTTTCAGGAATGTTTTTAATGGGGCCATAAAAATCAGATAAATAGTAACTATCATTACTATGAAAACATAAAGTGTCCGTCACTATCACAAAGTTCATTAAGACTGCTGTTAGACATAATAGTTACCCCATATGCTTTAATTGGATATCTAATCCCGCATCTAGGCTTTAAAAAGGTTTCATTAGTTAGAACATATATTTTTTTTCCAAACATAACATCTGGTTGTTATATATTTGTCCCCTTTTTTATTAATCTAAGTGGCTTTACACTCCAACTGACTACTTTGAATACCATACTTTCTTGTAGTCAAAATATTTCTCAAGGTCATTTTCCCAGGATGAAAAGAACTTTACACTGTAGTAAGCTTAACAAATAGGAAAGACATAAAGAAGAAAAGATTTAACCATATGTTTCAATCAATCAATCCTTTACTGAAACTTGACCCTTAGTACAGATAGCTATCCTAATTCTTACTCTAGCTCTTAGTCCCAATGGTATCATAAATCTAAAGTAACCAAAAAGTATTCAAGCGCTTAAGCTTTGAATTGTACATTGCATCCTAATCGCCAGCTAACTGGAAAGATGGGAGAACTTTCCTGAAAGACCTATTCTTTAAGGGCTCCAGAAGAAGGTTCTTGATAGACTGCCGCTAGCCAGGCTGAACCTCCTGACTCTCTCTAATCCTGCATTTCTCAAACTTGGCAGCTTTTAAGATGTGTGGACCCGAGAAAGTCCAGACACCTTAAAGTTGCCAAGTTTGAGATCTGAATTATGAATTCCACAGCAAACATTGGCAACTTAAATAGTGTGGACTTGGCTGGAAAATCCCAAACAGTGTGTGGTCCTCAATGGAACCGCATCTACATGGAGGGAAGTGTGTTGTGGGGTACCCCAGGGCTCTGTTATGGGCCCAGTGCTCTTCAACATCTATATCAACGATTTGGACGAGGGGATAGATGGGGAACTCATCAAATTTGCAGACGACGCCAAGCTGGCAGGAATAGCCAACACTCCAGAAGACAGCTTAAGATACAGAAGGATCTGGACAGATTTGAACACTGAGCGCTATCTAACAAAATGAAATTCAATGGTGAAAAAAAAGCATGGTTCTACATTTAGGCAAGAAAAACCAAATGCACAGGTATAGTATAGGGGGTACCTTGCTCAATAGCAATAACTGTGAGAGGGACCTCGGAGTCCTAGTGACAATTACCTAAATATGAGCCAGCAGTGTGCTGCAGCTGCCAAAAAGGCCAACACAGTGCTAGGCTGCATTAACAGAGGGATAGAATCAAGATCACATGAAGTGTTAATACCACTTTACAATGCCTTGGTAAGGCCACACTTGGAATACTGCATCCAGTTTTGGTCACCGTGATGCAAAAAAGATGCTGAGACTCTAGAAAGAGTACAGAGAAGAGCAACAAAGATGATTAGGGGACTGGAGGCTAAAGCATATAAGGAACGGCTGCTGGAATTGGGTATATCTAGTTTAATGAAGAGAAGGACAAGGGGGGACATGATAGCAGTATTCCAGTGTCTCAGGGGCTGCCATAAAGAAGAGGGAATCAAGCTATTTTCCAAGGCACCTGAAGGCAGGAGAAGAAGCAACGGGTGGAAACTAATCAAGGAGAGAAGCAACCTAGAACTAAGGAGAATCTTCCTGAAAGAACAATTAACCAGTGGAACAACCTGCCTCCAGAAGCAGTGAATGCGCCAACACTGGAAGTTTTCAAGAAGAGACTGGACAGCCATTTGTCTGAAATGGTATAGGGTTTCCTGCCTAAGCAGGGGGTTGGTCTAAATGACCTCCAAGGTCCCTTCCAACTTTACTATTATTATTATAATTTATCCAGCTGAATAGTTCTTCTACCAGACATCTTTCCCTTCAGGCCAGCTCTGGAAAAAATGGAAAGAAAAAAATGCTTTGGATCTTCTTGTCCAGAAATACAGAATTTAACAACTCTTCTGCCAGTTCTGAAGTTCCAGGGATAGCTCTACAAGTCATGTAAAATTAAACGAGGCGCTTCTTTTTTTAAAACCAATGTAGTTAAGTCTCCAGTTATAAAAAGTTCATTAAGGAAATAGGACTATAGGAAAATCTAGAAAAAAAACCAAAAACCACACAATTCAGAGTTCCAGATAAAATCAATACAGCCAGCCTAATTTAACTTGGTACTGTCTGCTTGAATACAATCTTAGGATTGAGCACCTAGTCAGAGTTCATTTCAGGGTGGATAGCTGGAAAAAAGTTAATTTGGACCTCCTGTTTAGATGTTAATAAGCCTTCTTTGCTTCTTCTGCCCTGAGCCAATATCTTCGGCTTTAAAATTTGCCTGTGAAAGTTGGACTTTGGGGGGGGGGCAAACTAACAATGGCTCATCCAGTGCTGATGGCCTAACTTTAGTTAGCAAATAACAAATTATTTAGTAATTGAACCCATTTTCTTATGACTCCAGATGGAATGATTAAGGTGCAGATTATGCTGTTATTTAAAGAGGATTATATGGGAGAAAACAGGCCTCTCAGCATGGATCAGTTTATCAAATGCTTTAAGGGGCATTGTTGTACTGCACCAAAATCTAGGATGTTCTTGTAATGTCCAAACTACATAATAGTACTTACTGTCATATACATCTTAATTATATAAATATTTTAAAAATCCTAAAATAGTTATATACTATATTATAGAAAACCATTAATGAAGAGCTTTTTAGCTCTTCTTGGGACAATTCCATAATTAAGAAGGCTATTTCCATGCCCCATCCAAATGTCTATCAGACTGCGGGGAAAAATGCCAGCAAAAGGCAGGTTCTCATAGAAGATTGCCCTTTATTGTTGATAAATCAGTGTGATGGCAGCTTTTTGCCAGTATATAAAGTGTTTCCCCTACAGAATTTGCATGATGCAGGTTGAGAGACACATCAGCAAGAATAGCAGATGTAAAAGGTGAATGCAACAAAAGCAGAATATAAACAGACCAAACACGAGCAAATACAATTACATTTCTATAGGCATAATTTCAATTCAATAAGTGGCTAAAGTGATGCACCACTTGTATACTGAAAGACATGAACACCATATAAAATAAGAAAAGCAAGTTCAAAAATATGTTGTCAGTAAAATACAGAAATGCAAGAAACCAAATAAAATTTCTTGATAGACATGTGCAATTTTGAGTGAGAAAGTCATGGTTTTTGACATGACACTGTAATATAATAGTATAGAATAAAACAATTCATGAATAGGGTATTTATTTTGTCATATTTATTAAAACAGTTGCTTTGTAAAACATGTCATTGACAAGATGTTTTCGATTTTTCACTTCTTTTAGCACAGAAACATTAATATCACAAATACACAGGGCATAAAGTAAGCATGCCACTCTAAAATAATCAATTGCCTATTGTTCTCTCATTCTGATTTTCATTTGATCAAATGCAGTCTTCCACAGCTTTCCTTGCTTACAGAGTTTTTGCAGTTTAAAAAGTTCAGCAGCCATCCTTAGGGAATTTGTTTTTATGCTTTATTTAGTTGTGTCACCAAATAACGGCACTTTAAGAATAATTAGAACAATGCAGAGCATTTGTATTAATTACATGGAAATTATAGGTGATTAAACCTGTTCTGTATCTGGATATGTCAATATGTTTTAATATTTTTATATGACTGATTGGAAAAATGCAATGCAAATAAAAAAGTTTATTTAGCTCAGAATAAAAAGTGCTGTAATAAGAGCAGAACAACATCAAGGAACAAGTTCATGTATCATCTTTGGTTCGGTATCATCATATCTGCTCCTGAAGATAGCAGAAGAGAGAAACAAGAGACACCAAGGAGATTTCAATACTCAGTGAATTTGTTGGCATTTTATGTATGATTAAATTTATCTATTGGGGAGACGGGACATTCCTAGGACTTTTATCTTTCCGTTTATATCACTAGTTCTATTTAAACATCCAAAACTTCATTTTGGACGGTAACCCCACTTTCTTTAGCGATACCAGGCTTCAGAATTTCTTAGGGGCAGCCAATGACAGCATTTTTCCTCCAAATATTATATACCATATTTCTGGGAACAGAATGAGAGATAAGAAATAGCAATATTCACCCTTTAACTGTGCAGAAAGATAGCTTTCAGCGCATAGCAATGTAAGGTAAGTGTCAAAAATGCATCTTATATAACATAATACTCTTATATTAACTGTCTTGATTATAATAAATGATCGGGGAGAAAGATATCCAAAAAATAATTGACCTCAGAAAAGAAAGCAGAGCCTCTTCTTTCAGAGTCTACTTTAGTTAGTCCACTCAGAGTAATCCCAACATGCTGTTTTAAACTTTGCACTGAGTAACTCTGTAACTAAATGGCCTTCTTATTAGAAATTACAGGCTTGTATAAACAAAACAAAGTCCAGAAGGGGGAAAATGTCATAAGGACTGAGCAAAGGCCCTTCGGCAGAAGCAAGGATTATCAGGGAATGCAAACACACGAAGACGGTGGTTTAGTAGGCCTACATTAAAAAACTGCTTGTGTTTAATAGGCCATGGGATATCCTCTAGCAGTGTTTCTCAGCAAGGTGCCTGGCTGGTTTCTTTTCATTGGAATCTTCCTGCCCGTAACTTTACTTCTGTTACTGCTCATTGCCTACCTCCGGATCAAGCTTAAAGAAGGTAAGTGAGCCACCATGCGAGGTGAGCAAGAAGTCAGCAATATCATAATGTAGAAGGCTTTGCTTTGAAGTTATATATGAATTAGGACTGAATAGTTCAAGCTCTCTGATTGAAATGCTAGATACCCACTATCTTACTTGTAGCTATGCCAAATACACTTACCTGACTGCTGGTGGTTGGAATTGATGGAAGCTGAAAGAGAATGTTTAGTGAAAAAAAAATAGGCTTTCCACCCTCAAACTATCTTTTTTGAATCCTTCGCCCCATGTCCACTTTCTGTTTCAAGTTCTGCTAAAAGAATTTGATTATTCTAACGTGCAAAGTGTTTTTCTGGGATGTGAAAGTCGTTATCTTCTCTCATTCATTTCTATTCTACACTTCATCTCAGCCCCAAAAGCCAAAAAGTAATCCAATCACAACTGTTCTCATTGTTTAAGATGGGAACTAAGATAGGCATAGTATGCCTTCGATGCACTAATAAAAATGTTTTTCTTTAATAAGTTAAATATTCAAATTGGCCCCTTATTTTATCACAAGGGTTTTCTTGTGTCTAATTGGCCTTCTTGGCACTCAACACCTGCAAATGTTTTTATTCTTCTCAGTGAACAAGCAATTGTCTCTGGCCAATAACCCCACAGATGTTGTCCTCCAGTACCATGCCAAGTGCAGCAAATTGAGGAATTCAAACAGAAAGCAAGATCATCAGTAAGAAGATGACAACTTCTTTAGAGAATGTCACTTTGGATGATTGGTTCAGTTTCAGCTATTTACTGGGGGGGGGGGAATTCAAGTGCAGCTTACTGTTATTTAAAACCCAGGAAAGATATTCTGATAATGTGATTAAGAAAGATTAAAAAAAGAAACCATTGTTTAAAATGACTTTTAATTATTTTGCTGCTTCTGATGAAGCCACAGTGTTTTGAGCCTAATTCAGAAAATTGCTTCGCCTTCTCTTGGGGGGGGGGGGGGAATTTCTTACAAGACAGAAGCACCGAGTTTTATTCTGTTTTTCTGTATTTTGAAATATTTGCAATTGTAGTAGAAACAAAAATAAGTGAAATGAAATGTTCTTTTTATACAGCATAAAATTGTTCTTATACAAACAACTAAAAGATGACATACAAAAATAAATACATCAAACACTGCTGCTTTCTTGTGTCTGATGCTTTAGTCTTTATCTTGTTTAGGTCTAATGAATTGATTGTGGCTTTTGTTGCAAAGTATTGACTTCCCTGGTTACACTGTCTTTGTGTAGGGGTTTTTTAAATACACATATTTGCTGTCATTGATAAAAAGCAACTTATTTCTCTTCCAGACCAGTTCTTGGAGCTCAGATAGTTGTGACCCTGTTTGATACTTCTGGTAAAAAGGAAACTATACAGGTTCTTAATTTACAGAATTATTGAAACTGCATAAACTACAGAAAATGTATGAGAGTCAATGTAATGTACTCATGCAAGTATTGGAGTAGTAAGAGGTATGGGTTCAAAATCTCACAAAGTAGCAGCCAAAGGGGCTATCACAGTGGTGGCAAACCTCGGAGCCTTCTCTGTGGGCACACGTGCCATTGCCCCAGCCTTGCCTCCCCCGTGAACCCGTCCTCTCCAGCAGCCCCCCTGAAGGAGAGTTGTCCCTGAGCATGGCCCATGCACAGCAGCGCAGCCAAGGACATGGTAGCCAGGCAGCGTAGACAAGACTCTACCCTCACACCCCATTGTGCACAGCTGATGCTGCAGGGCGCGGGCAGAGGGCGTGACCACCATAGCGCTGCTGGGCTGCCTGGGCGATCTATGGCGGGCCCTGGAGGCGGTGAGTGGCCCTGTGGGCAGGCGGGGCAGGGAATGGGGAGGTGGAGCAGGGAATGCAGAGGGGGGCAGGGGGTGGAGTGGGGCGGGGCCAGTTTTTGGGCACTCGGTCTCTAAAAGGTTTGCCATCATTAGGCTATCACATGATGAGCACGGCCAGCCACAAATTATTAAAAGGGAAAATTCTTTATTGCTTTACAGCGTTCCACTTTTCTATCCCCTTTTTTGCTTTAATTGAAAGGCTGACTGCCCCCCCCCCAAAAGGAAATGGATCATGAAGCCCAGCAGGCACAAAAGGAGCTCAACTACTAACCTTAATTTAAATTGTGAGAAGCAAGAAAGTAATAGTCAACAGGTTTTACTTTTTTTTGCTAAATACATAACTATGGGGACTAATTTTTCAAGCCGAAGCATCTGAAATTAAAAATAATGGATTTCAGCAGCAGGAGCATCCACAGGATCTATCACGTTCATCAAAATGATGAAAGCAATTTTATGCTGTCACAATACAAGCTGCTCCACTTTTGTCCATGCAAGATGACAACATGACATTGAAGCATTGGAATTTGTATCATATCAGCATGGCATTGTTTTCAACATTTGCATACCGTGCCAGCAGGTTAACAGTTAAGGCATCGGCAAGGAAGAGTCAGAATAGAGTATGGATATGTAGAGAATCATGACCTGTCTTTTTCTTAGGGGGAATTCTTACCAATCCGAAGTAGGCTTGCTTTCAAATCAGGGAATGTGTGTTGCTTAACCTGGTAAACTCAATAGGCTCACATAAGGTAGATCCCCAGGGCCTTTTTTGCAGCTCAAGACCACCTCCAAGAGTTACATTGAGGTAAAATGGGTGGCCTACAAATGTTATAAATAAATAAGTTACTACTAGTGAATATTGATGATGTATTTTCCCATCATTTTGAGGGAAGGAGATACACAAAAATTCTGGCCTGAAAATAAACTTCATTTTTAAAAAGGTACATGTTTCTTATTATAGTTTCATGTTTTGTTTTAAAAAGAAAACTCAATAATTACTTATAAAAGAACAGGAAAAATGATCTTACTATCTTTGCGTTATCATTCCACCAACTACCACTCTTGGATTCACAAAAATGTTAGATTTATCATGAAGCTGAGCAAATGATGTATACCCCTGAGTGTTTGGGAAGACATATTTTTCAATCTGGCTTATGACCTGGATAGCCTGATAGATGGCTTATTGTTGGACAGAAAGAAGGAATAAGGGTAATTTTACTCTGCTGATTTGCTTCGTATCTCAGCAGCTTTTGACAGTGCACATTACACTATTTTCCTGGACCATCTGTGGGAATTGGGAATTGGAAGAACTATGCTAGATGGATTCCAATCTTACTTGAAAGGAAAACTTCAGAGAATAGCATTTATTGACTATGCCTCTGCTCCCTGACTGCTGAGATGCCATAATGCTCTCTTTTATTCACAGTGCAGTTTAATATCTACATGAAGTGTAAAGGAACAGTCATCAGCAGTAGCATCCTATGCAGAACATCTGGCATGTACATTTCACTCTGTTGGAGCAAGTGCACTGGCTAACAATTAGCTACCAAACCAGGTTTACCTTGGACACATAAACAGTCTCAGACACTTGACAGATCACTTCCTCCAGTAGAGTCCTGCACAATCAGTAAGATTAACAAAATACAATCTGCTACATTTGTTGTGATATATAGTCTCCAATCTTGCAGCCATTTGCCCTCTCTGTAGTAGTACCAACTGTATAGATCAGTGGTTCTCAACCTGTGGGTCGGGACCCCATTTGGGGTCGAACGAACATTTCACGGGGGTTGCCAAACAACACAGTCCGCCATTTTTTCCCCTTTTCTTTAGCTGTGCTACTCCCTTTTATTCTATTGGCTTTTGAAAGCCAATAGAATAGACTCTCTTGAATAGAGTCTAATTCTATTGGCTTTCAAAAGCCAATAGGAATTGTCCAGGCTGTCTCTGCCCTGCTGAGCCCGCCAAAAATCCCATTCTGCAAACGGTGCTGCACCAGTTGAGTAGTCCTCAACTTACGACCGGTTGAGTAGTCCTCGACTTACGACCGGTTGGGGGGGGGGTTGCATTAAAAAGGTTGAAAACCACTGGTATAGATTATATCCCTTGGTATCGGCGAGGTGCTTATTACTATACTATTTAATAAATTTAATTGTAGTATTTATTTATTGCTTTAAAACTAGGAATTAATGCACCCTAGTACACAAAATCTCACTCTGGGTACTGTAAATGCAAGAATGCAGGCCATAGGGTTATAGAATTTAGCAAAGTGAATTCATGGTTCATTGCAACCTGTTTTAAGCAACCAAAACACAGGCTATATCTCTGGGTGTGACTAGTTGGAAAACACTGGAATACAATTGACAGTATACTAGAAAATGCAAGATGGGGAAGTAGAATCCAGCCAGTCAGTGCAGTGCGTGGAACAGTTCATGAATTACTGGTGTCGTATCTACATATTACGGTTAAAAAAATAAAGAGAGGGAGTATTTGAGAAAATATTTAAGAGAATTTAAAAAGTTTTAGTTTTGTTTTATTGATAATAGCAAGTTTGTTTCGAGGGTAGCTCATGTCAGAATGTGAAAGTAAAGTCAGTGGATGTGCTAAAACATTTGTTTATTCTTCTGAGGACTCTGCAACGAGCAATAAGCTACTGTTAAGGAAGGAGTTTGGAGAAACAGAATTGCGAAGAATAATGTGCGGAGTAAGAGAAGGACCCATACTGTCCCTGAATTTGTTTGACATACACTGGTTATAAGGTTGCTCAAACTGCCAGCACCTGTGCTGCTTCTGGGCTTCTCCTTAAGCCCCTTCCTGTGCGGTAGGACAGCAGTTATCTCTAAAAGCTTTGCTGGGAAACAGCTGAGGGTGTGTGCTGGGGGGGAGGGAAGAAGTGTTTGTGTGTAGAATGGATGTTTCCAACAGCAATACTCCTAATGAGTAGGAATAGCAGCAGTAATAGGAATGGGGAAGAGCGAGTAGTAACTAACAGTATGTGAATGCTTATGTGTGTTGTCTAGGGACCTGGTCTGTTGTTGGCTCTTTTCTGTCTTGAACCCACCAAATTGTATATAGTTTTTAAAAAATCCTGTGACAAAGTGGGGGCAGTGGTAGGATATCCCAAAAGGGCTGGGGGCTGGGATGGGATAGCCAACCCTTAGCTGCAAAAGAAATGATTTGGACAAGGGGATAGATGGGGAAGTCATCAGATTTGCAGATGACACCAAGCTGGCAGGAGTACCCAACATTCCAGAAGATAGAATTGAGATACAGAACGATCTTGACAGACTTGACCATTGGGTGCTATTTAACAAAATGAAATTCAATGGTGAAAAAAGTAAGGTTCTACATTTAGGCAAGAAAAAAATATACAGGTACAATATAGGTGGTAGCTGGCTCAGTAGTAGTCACTGTGAGAGGGATCTCGGACTCCTAGTGGACAATCACTTAAATATGAGCCAGCAGTGTGCTGCAGCTGCCAAAAAAGCCAATACAGTGCTAGGCTGCATTAACAGAGGGATAGAATCAAGATCACGTGAAGTGTTAATACCACTTTATAACACCTTGGTAAGGCCACACTTGGAATACTGCATCCAGTTTTGGCCACCACTCATAAAAAAGATGTTGAGACTCTAGAAAGAGTACAGAGAAGAGCAACAAAGATGATTAGGGAACTGGAGACTAAAACATATAAGGAACAGTTACTGGAATTGGGTATGTCTAGTTTAATGAAAAGAAGAACAAGGGGTAACATGATAGCAATGTTCCAATATCTCAGGGATTGCCACAAAGAAGAGGGAGTCAAGCTATTCTCCAAAGCACCTGAAGGCAGGACAATGGATGGAAACTAATCAAAGAGAGAAGCAACCTAGAACTAAGGAGAAATTTCCTGACAGTTAGAACAATTAACCAGTGGAACAATCTGCCTCCAGAAGCAGTGAATGCTCCAAAAGTGGAAGTTTTTAAGAAGAAATTGGACAGCCATTTGTTTGAAATGGTATAGGGTTTCCTGCCTGAGCAAGGGGTTGGACTAGAAGATCTCCAAAGTCCCTTCCAACTTTATATTATTATTGGTGGTGGTGGTGGTGGTGTTGGTCTTGTTGTTGTCTGACTCTTGCAGAGTTTAGACTTTTCAGGCAACAGCCAATAATCCTGGCAACAGAAACTGGACTCGCACTAGAGCCTGCACCAAACAAACAGGAATGTAAAAAGTAGAAGGGGCAGATTCTCCCTTAAAAGAGACTATTATTTTGGTAGAGACAGGTATCTACCCTAGCAAAAAAAGGTAGGCTAACTTCAGATACTTGGGCCAATATCATTACAGGAATTTTGAGGAAACAGCAAGTGGATAGGCTTTAATTTTTTTTTAAAAAAAAGCCTTTGAAGAGAAACAGGAAATATAGGCTAGAATGGGAAGAGTGAAAGGGAGGGCCACATTCACCTCTAGGGTTTTCAGAACATACAGAGAGGAGAAATGGTCCCAAAGATCTCAAAATCCCTAGGTTAATCGAGGGAGACGATATAGAGACCTATTTAATTATGTTTGAAAAAGTTGCTACTTATAAATGGACAATGAATTGGTGGCCAGATTAGCCCCATGTTTAACAGGAAATGCTTATAACAGGAAATGCTTATAAGGGCTTATAACAGTCTTTCAGCTAGGGGAGTAATAGATTATCACACTAAAGAAACAATCCTTTACAGGTGTCATACCTATAGGCAGAGGATTAGGTCCTACACAGATAACAAACAGGAAGGGATTCCTGTATTGTGGGGAAGACTGAAAGATCTAGGTAGGAAATAATTGAGGCCAGAAGAAGCAAAGAAAAATTGGTAGGGGAAGTAATTTTAGAACAGTTTCTTCATGTACTCCCTACTAAAGTGAGAGTTTTGGATGCAAGACTACCACCCAAGAAAATGGGTCAAAAGGCAGCAAAATGATCAGAGGCTGTTTGGAAGGAAGACACAGGAGAAAGAACAATTAAGAAAGCCTGTTTCAGAAAGTAGGAAGCATAAAGATCTGGAAAGGTTAAATGAGAAAAGTCTAAAGAAGTATTTAGCCCCTACCCAAATGAAAGGAAGGCCTTTGATAAAATAAAAGGCACACAGTGTGTGAAGCCAATACTGAAAGGGCCGAATTTTAAACAACCCTTTGTCCTACAAATAGACACATCAAACAGGTTTAGGCACAGTGCTTGTCACAAGTCATGAAGGGATGGACAACACTGTAATTTATCTCTCAAAGAAGCTCCTCCCAAGAGAACAAAAGTATGGCACCATTGAAAAAGAAGCCTGTGCATGAAAATGGGCAATCAATGCTCTGCGTGTATATTTATGAGGTTGGGAATTCACTGTAATCACCATCATGGTGCAGCAAATGAAAGATACCAATTCACAGTTAACCCAAATGGTATCTCACATTACAACCTTTGCCAGTTCAATATTACAGCTCAAGATATGGACAGCAAAATGTCATTCCTGATTTTCCTACCATGGAGTGGGAAAAGACACAAATGGCATTAGCCTCATGAAAAAAAACCCACCAGGGTTAATTTTTCTTTTATTACTATTAAAAGATAGGTGTGTGGTAGGCTACTTAAACAATTTCCAGGATCTGTGCTCTTTTCTATCTCTTCTCTTTAAGGCCCGCTCCCCAGTTTCAGCAGGGCAGAGGTCTATAAAAGCTATGCTGTGAAACAGCTGAGGGTGTTGGGAAGAGGGATGTTTTCTCTAGCAATATTTGTAAGGAGTGGGAATAGCAAGAGGAGTGGAGAAGAGTGAGTAGTATTGAGTAACATGTATAGTATGTATGTTGTCTAGGGACCTGTGCTGCTGATGGGTTGTTTGTGTTTTGAGCCCACCAAACTAGGTGTAGTTTAAAAGGCAGAATTGAATCTTGGAATCAGATTTGCAGGTTAGGCACTAATGAGATATGCAGGGTATGCTATTTTATTATCTGAAAATAAAAATGATTCAGAAGAGCTCCTTGTGAAAGTAAAAAATGGAAATGAAAAATCTGGGCTAATGTTAAATAACAAGACAACAAAATAATAACAACTAGCATGCTTAGTGAACCCACAATGAAGAAAACAGATACTTATGGGGTTTTTTTGTGTTCAGCAACAAAAATGGGTATAAAGCATTAAAAATGAGATTAGTCCTAGGGAAGAAGGCAATGACAAATTTAAACAAGGTAATGAAGGCTAAGGACATTGCCATGACAACAAAAATCAGAATAATTAAAGTAATGGCTTTTCCAGTAGTAGTATATGGCTGTTGAAAAATAAGATACATCTCTTTAAATTATGGATTTTAGAGCCTGTTGCTAACAGAGCTATGGATTGGGAGAAACTTAAATATGTCCTGGATGAAATAAAAATTTACTATTCCCTTAAGAGAATTATCAGCAAGCAGAAACATACTTTGGTCATGTGATATGAGCAGGTAATAGATTAGAAAAAGATCTTTTCCAAATATCCTTTGAGGGAAGCATAAAAAAGGAAGGAAAATAGATAAAATGTAGTGGACAAAGGACACTATTGGAATGTCATTGAAAAAGCTGTGGATCATCACAGGGGAAGACTGACACGATTGGCAGTTGCCAAGTTCTGACTCAAGAGTTTAACTCATAAGCAAGCCATGTTCTTTTATTACTCCACTATTTGAATTTGCATTCCTTAAAAACTTTACAATTGCTCCCACCTATAATCTGAATTAATGTAGTCCACTTGTTTTAATGAACTAATAAAGTCTTCACAATTCTTCTTTAGTCCCCAATTGTTTTATTTATAAAAATAGGACCTTTCATGGAAATAAAATGGTACAAACCCTACCTAACACTCACCATAAAGCATCAATATTTTCAACAAGTCCACTGCAGGTTCGGGATCTGAGAATGGAAATCAGAGTTAGTGTTATCAGCACACTACTGACATTTCAGTCCAAATGGTTTAGCTTCGTGTAAATGCCAAAAAGCACAAGAGCCACAAAGGAAGTTTATAGAATCCAAATGATCATCAAAGGCCATAGAATGGGCCACAACTCCATTTCCCCACTTCTCTGACTGATCCTCTGAGAGTCAGAAAAAGATTTTCTCTAAATATGAGAAAGGAGAAAAGCAAAGCACTTGAGAGATGTGTTTAAGTATGTAAGAATATGTTCCTAGGAAGTTTTTTAATCCCAGCACAATATAAGCACTAAGGTATGCTGATAGGTTTACATTATTTTCAGTGTCAAATATTAAAGGCAGCGAAACATTTAGAGAATAAAGAAACTTTATTTTATAACAGTATTATGAAGCAAAATATCACTTAATACAACTTCAAGCTGCTATAAATTTAATATGGCATCTTAACTATACAGTTCATATGGCGAACAATGGAGAAAAATGGATATAGTTAACAGGTTTTCAAAGAGACCTCCTCAGTAGCAGGCACCATTGATAATGGGCCGAGGCCATACCCTTGGTTCCTTCTGGTCCTCAAAACCTGTTCCTATTATTAGGCAAGCTACTTAAACAATAACTGCTCAACAAACGTCAGTTATATAACAGGAGTTAATGAGTTTTTATTAGGGCTGGGCAGCACTTAAGATTCAAAGACAAAAAGGCACTTCAAAGAGTCCAGGGGAGACCATCTGTGGTCCTGGACTGCAACTGCTTAAGTGAGATATGTGTATTCCTGGGATGGCACAGACAAACCTATGGAAAAATTCTGCTTTGTTTAATGAGTTGCAGAGAAATCCTGCACACTGCTTTCAGTGGGTGCTCTGAAACACTTTCTGCATTTGAATCAGAAGCACTGCCAGCCCTGTTTTTAGGCAAAGCAAGCTTTCAGCAGATGCATTTATATAATGGAAGTATCTGATATTTAGCGTATTAAGAGAAAAACATTAGGTTTTAAGCTGCCTAAATTTGCTGGAAGGACAGAGCAAAGTCCTTCCAACTCTGGAATGTTGCAGACCATAGGTCTCTTTGACGGGACTGGCTGAGGACAGTGAAGTGCAAACAAAAGGCTACTTGAACAGTGGTTGGTCAGTAGAAATATTTTTTATAACTAAAAAAAAAATCACTTCTATATGATACCAGCACCAGTTCCCTCACAAAATAGATCATCAGAATAAACAGAAAAAAATTATATAGGAATCTATATAAAATCATACAAGTTTTCAGTTTACTTTCCCTGCCAAACTATAAGAACATTTTGTATTTTTTTTAATAAAATGAATATTTTTATTGTATTATTTGATATTTATCTGAAAAAGTAAAATTTTTCCAGTAAGCCTTTGAGACATTTTGAAAAGCATATATCTAAATTAGTCAGGGTTTCTTTTCCCTGCATAATAAAACTGCTCAAGTAAACGGTGCTTTCTAAATATATTTGCTTACTTTCATGCAATCAAGAAATCAGTTATACAAAAATAGCAGGGAATTGAACAAAAAAATTCTCTAAAGCTCATTAAAAAAAATCCAAGAAGTTAAAAATCGGTTATAAAAACAAAGACATACATGAGAAACTGTAAAGTTGGTAATTCGGTTTGGAGAAATTTGGTCCCTGTTCACCACAGGCTTAGTATATTCAGTGAAAGACTGGCTGGGATATCATCTTGGAATTATTTAAGTTCTTCATAGTCTCAAAGCATTCTTCATAAATCTAATGAAGCAAGCAATTGAATGCAATTATTGTTATAAATCTTAAATTATATTAAAACATTTTTTACTAAATTGCCCTTTTTCCTCTTTTGAAAACAGTTTTCCTTTTCAAAGCCTTATGCTACATTTTTCAGATAAATTTCAGACTTTCTATAACTAATTGTTCCAACCACCATTAAGCTGGAGAGGGACAGATCCTACTACTTTATTCTATAATTATAAAGAACAATATTATACTTAAGAGTGTAGAACCCAAACCCAGCTATTATTAAAAATCCTTATATGTTTATCTTTAGATAAATATAACTTCTACTTCTGGAAACATCTCCTGTTTGTTTTATTTATTTTGCTGCCCATATGGTCTCAAGTTATTGAAGCAACCGCTAGTCAAAAGATAATTTTTTCTTATTATCATTACCAATGTATCGCAAAATAGAAGCATTACATAATTTTTAAAGTAGGCGTGCCCAGCTCTGCCTGTCTTAATGTTGGAGACGAAGTCAGATATTACATGCTACTACCTCTCTTCCACATCTGGCTAGCTTTGGAAAAGCTGTGGTGTGAACAGAGACTTGATTTCTGCCAACGTAGGCCACAAATTGCTTTGAAATCTATGAATCTGTCACACTAATCCACAATTCTAAGGGCAGGAATATAACTGATACTTCCCTGATATCGAAATACAGTTGTGACTTCAAGGCAGGATCAAGAGCTTTTTACTACTTAATTTATAGTAAAGTCATTCATCAGAACAGGATGCAAGAGAGAATGCTTAGCCTCCGTTATGCAGAAACGTGGTAATAACTTTTTTTTGCATTATCTACATTAAAATTCAAGGCTTGTAATTTTGAAAACACAGGGTTACCATAAAGCTCCACATTTCCATCAAGATCACTGATAATGCTGGAATATACTGTTCTAGCTTGTGAATATTCAGTCTGATATGTCAAAAATCATTTGAAAATCCATATTGTTATTAATTCACCTAAAACATTTACATGGCATTTTAAAAAAGCATATTGTTGAATATAACACAAAACTTTCTTACCACACTTGGTTGGGTTGTTTTTTTTTAAAAAATGTTGAATATCATTTGGGGGTTAGCTCCAAAAGTTTCCAAGCTGTGTGACAAATAGTCATATATAGGAAAACCTGCCTAGTTATTATTAAAAGGGCCTGTGTGGCTTTCACACAAAGAACGATGCTTTCTAAGAACCATGTTATTTAGGATGATAATAAAAACATTCTTTCACCAAATGTTTGTTAATTATTCTAATGAATATTTTAAATGGATTATTTTACATTTTTATATTTTGTTGCTGTGAATGTTGGAGTAAACAAGTAGAGTATAATGATATATATAATGTGTCATTGATCTATATGTATCAGTGATATATATAGCTTAAGTAGGCTTTAAATCTTCCTGGATAAGGAAAACAAAAATTATTGTATGTTGGAACAGAAGATTGCATTAGATCTTCACAGACAAATATTTAATATGCCACCAGGTGGTATCTTGACAGTATTCTCAATAGACAGGTATCCTTTTTGCCATTTCTCCATGCCCTTTCCTTTTTTTTTTCTCCTGTACTCTTGTTTTCTGAACCATTCTTTAAAAAACAAAATGGAAGAATAAAATCACTGCAAAATTCCACAAGGAATATTCAAGTTGAGGTTTTCATGTGGTTGGTATCAACAATCAGCACTTCTAAAGCCATTATGGAGAAATTCTCCTACAATTATTCCATCAAGTATTGTTGTATATATTATGGGCTGAAAATCCATACCTTAATGGCCTTCTTCTTCAAGTTCACTTTCCTTATGCACCACTACTCTTGTTACGGACATGTCAGGGTGCTGCTCTTTGGCTTCTTTAATGGCTTGCGCCAATGCCTGCAATGCCAGAAAAATGGAATAACTATGGCAAATTAAAATTAACAGAGTTTAATGTGTAATGGCTAGCAAAGTTCTTAATGCTAATCTTCCTGGAACAATTTGAATTAAATATTAAACTAAGCATATCACTTCCGTAATAAAACAATCAACTATAGAAGAAAACTTTTAAAGTGTTATACATTTACAAATTTGTTTGGTATCAAGTAAAGTATTAAAATTTGTAGAAAGCTTGTTAAAGTAAGGATTCTTTTTCACGTTTTGTAAGGGTACTGAAGACTACTCAGGATGGCATATGTGGTGTATGTATGCTAAAGCAATTGTTTTCTTTTGCTAGTCTCCAATATGCTTTGTTCTAATGTTTAGCCCATTTTTCCCTATTTGAGCTTATCTACAATCTCAGACTAATGAAACACAATTTAGAAAACAAATGGCAATTGGAAGAGTTAAATATTTCCTTCTTGTTCATTATTTCCATTCTACAATTTTGTCTCTCCAATTTGTGCTAATGTGGTAACTGCAGAATTTGGAAAATGCATTGCCAGAACACTAGGCAATAATTTTATTTACAATTTTACTTGTTGACGTGGAAGAGGTCAGCAATCTCGATAGAATCCCTAACCCTAAGCCAAAATTAATACCTGCTTTCTGTATATAGTTACCCTAAACTTCAGTTGAAAAATATGCAAAAACAAACCCTAAGGAACTGCATGAAGAAATGTACAAAGACATTTTTTTTCTCTAGTAGTATTTTTTTCAGAATGTATGGAAACAAAAAGAATACATCTGTATAAAAAAAAGATTCTCATTTAAAGCTCTACACAGAAACAATAATAGGTATACTACTGCAAAAAGCACCCATGTATTTTACACGAAAAATCAACATTTATGGATTAGTTTCAAGCCAATTCATAGGTACCATTGCAGGATTACTTTAGGATGTCATAATGGTTGTGATTCCTCGTCAGCCACTGGACCCTGTGGCTGCTGAGTCTGGGGAATCAGAGGAGGAGGAGGAAGGGCCTAGAGTGCCATGAGAGTCAGAGGAAGGCTCTGATGAGCCCCAAGACTTACAGTCTGACGAGGAGCCTGGCCCCTCCACTCGTGCTCTGGCTGAGACACAGCTGTGCTGGGAGGTTGAGTTGGATTGTGAGGACTCACAGCTGGAAGACATCAGGCATGCTCGCAAACGCTGACAGGCAACGAGAGTTGGACAGAGGAATGCAATTTGGTGACTCCAAAGGCAAGGAGAAGGCATTAGAAAGCCACACCTTGGGCTGCATAATAAAAGGGAAGGTATGGGAGGTGCTGGTTGCTGAAGGCAACCGTTTGTGAAGGACTCAAGTTTCATGGAATCGTGTTTTGTTTGCCTCTGCCTTTGGACAATTTTCTGTTTGGAAGATAGCAAGTGACTTGTGTTTTGTTTGCCTTTGCTTTTGGTCATTTTGCAGGTCTGTAAATAATACTAAAAGGGGTTTGTTTCTTTCGGTTCCAGCCTGCTTGTTGGAAGAGGGGTTTCTCCTTGTGAGTTTAACAAGGACTCACGTAGGTTGAGACAGAACAATAATTTTATAGACTCCTAAATAGAGATGATACATTTAATTTTATTAAAACAAACATGTTGTCTGACTTTTTTAAATTCCCCAACCGTACTGAGCATGTGTTGGGAAAGATAACCCTCAGACCTAATGCTAAGCACTTCTGCCATTTCATTTCAAGCTTTAAGGAGAGATTGAACTTGTCACATACATCCAAATCTCAGATTAAATTTATTTAGAGGCCTTGATACATTATCATTAAGAAATTAAAATTAAATTCTGGTTAGATTTATTTATGAAGAATTTAATAAGGGCATACTATGAGTTTAATGAACATTTGTGATTTTTTTGTTTTGCTTTTATCTACAATAATCAATCTTTTTGTATATAAAGCATTTTGCAAATTAAATAATTTAACTATTGTTCATTTTATCACTAGTTCCAATTCTTACACCTTATACATATTCTTAAATCTTCCTTCTCTCCATGTATAATTCCCTCATTATATATAATTCTCTCATTATAAGCATTCATTTTGTCTCACCTCATCATGATCAAGATCTGTATCTCCCGTGATAACAATCCGCTTTTCAATTCTGGTTTCTGACACACCACCTTTTACCATCTACAGGTTTCACCAGAAAAGGATTATTTAATCTTATAATATTGTGAATTTACTTGACAAGTATTGCAATGAAAAAGAAATTCAACAGAAGCTGCAACACACACTTAAAATAGAATTGGAATAAAGAAGGAAAAGTTAATGCACTGTCACTTCTAGATTAATATTCCTGCTATCTAGAACTGTTTCTGCTACAGGTGCATTTTATTGATAACTGCAATCATTCTTAACCTCTCTTCAGCACACCCTCCTCTGAATGGAAAAAAGATGCTAGAGAACCGTTAATGGTACAAGAAAGAAAATAATTGGAAACACAATTAAAAGATATGTCCAGCTGAAAAAGGGTTGGAACCATTTTGATATTCTACCAGCCCTTCATTAAGAAAAACAGGATTCAAAATACAAATTAAAATAGTTCTTGCCTAGAAAATTTAACTCAGCCAAAATCAGTGCATCCAACACTTCTCTGTCTTCACTAGCCAAGTAAAGGGAGGCCTCGTAGATGAAGAGATAAATATAGGTTTTTGCCTCCATCCCAACGACTCATGGCTATTAGTTTGTTTGCTGGCTTCATCTAATTCATATTTTTATCCGTGAGGGAGAAGGGAGCAGTATTCTGTTCAAAGGTGAGCATGAAACCCTTTCTGAGAAGGAAACCAATAAAGGAGAGGGCCTGGGGATAGATTTGGCTCTTGAGCTATATCAGTGGTGGCGAACCTATGGCATTGGTGCCAGAGGCAGCACTCGGAGCCCTCTCTGTGGGCACATGTGCTGTTGCCCCCCTCCTCTCCAGCAGCCCCCCTGAAGGAGTCGCCCCTGAGTGTGGCCCATACGGAGCAGCACAGCCAAGGACATGGCAGCCAGACAGCGTAGACAAGACTCTGCCCTCACACCCCATTGTGCAGTTGATGCTGCAGGGCGTGGGCAGAGGGCATGACTGCTATAGCGCTGCTGGGCTGCCTGGGCGATCTGTGGCGGGCCCTGGAGGCGGTGAGTGGCCGTGCGGATAGGCGGGGTGAGGGCGGAGTGGGGGCAGGCAGGGGTGGAGTGGGGACGGGGCCAGTTTTTGGGCACTCGGTCTCTAAAAGGTTCGCCATCACTGAGCTATATATTCTATTCCCTATGTTAGGTTAGAAAAGACTTTTCTTCTACAAGTTGCCTGCCTTTTGTTATGTTATTTGGAAATAAACATTTTTAGAAAGTCCACAAGCAATAAAATAGTGGAGGAGGGAGGAGAGGCAGAAAAATTAATTTAGTCTACATTTAAGATAATCAGCAAAGTCCCACTGTTGAAGAGCTTTGGAATAGTCTTCTGTAAATTTTTGATTGGCTGCAACTTTTACAGTATTTTTATCAACTGCTCTATAGGAGCATGGTGGCACATGGTTAGGATGCTGGGTTGGAGGTTAGCAGGCCTGAGTTCAAGACCCAAGTGCTGCTGTGGGGCAGGTGAGCTCCTGTTCTTTGCTCCTTTCCCGCCAGGGACAGGAAAGGAACCTCCAAGTGGGCATCGTGCAGGCAATGGTGATGTCACTGGTTAATTCTTTCAACCCAGAAGTGCCTCGATCCTTCTGATACAAGTACAATGCGATCAACTGCTCTGTTGATCATTAAATATTATTTCATCCTATTATTTCTAACATAGGATCATACTTTTATTATTAAAGTATGTTACTTTAATAATTTTATTGTGCAGTATTTGCTAAAATATTAAAAAAGGAAAAGCCTTAGCAAGAACTATATTTCTTAGCATAGAGTAACACACAAAACTATAAAGAACTTTACAAAATTAGTATTTATGTATGAGAAGCCAACTACAAAAGCCATCTCTAACCAAACCAATTACAATTAAAATAAATATTCCTTAGGGGAGTGTAACCATATCACAACAGGGAAAAATGCTGATGTACACAAATAGACTTGATTATTTTGGTTTCACTCATCCTCTCAATAGCATATTTAAAGCAACTTTTATGCCTTATTTATATGGACATGCAAATATGGCCTCCAGCTCTGGGGTTAGGAAAAGGATAAGGGCCATTATGAACTGCTGAGATGCCCCCACAGCAGGAGGAATCAAATAGAAGCAATTGAACTTGTTTACATAAACCAGAATTATACAGCTTAAAGATTAAGAAAAAAGCTGAGTGATAAAAGCTTCAAGCTCTAAATTATTTCTTTTCTCCTACCTTAGTAATATGTGTGGTTGTGGTAGTAGAGACAGATTCCGATGTGATTGTCTGCGCACTCAACAACATACCAGCATCACCACCATCATCAAACTACATAGGTAAAGAGCAAATACTGATTAAAAATTAAATAAAAACACAATTTATTTATTTTTTAAGCAGAAGCAACCTTGTAAGAAATCAAATGCTGCCTCTCATCAACTAGATTGTATTCGAGCACTGTGTCTGCTTATATCCTGATTATGAAAGCAATGCCATTTCTTCTTTGTTTGTGACCTGAGTAGTAAACAGTATGATCTTCGGACAAAAAAGTATCCAATTCCAATCCATTTCAATTTGCTGATGCCTAAGATATCAATGTGTAATCAATTCATTTCATCTTTCATTATGTTGAGCTTTTTCATGTTTGTGCTTCTTCTATTTCATGACCGCTCAATAATTCTCTTTGCAGAGAATTCAGATATTATTTCCCGTTAGGCAAAATCAGTGACTACTTGTCCCAAAGACTTGAATCTAGCAGTGTCATTGAGCAACATAAGTACTCCAAAATACCATCAACAAATACTCCTGGCATACACAATGGACATTCTTTGTGCATGCCTCCCAGGAACATCCCACCACTTCCACTATCACCACAATGAGGCAGCATAGCACGAATCTGAGGAGGAACAATTCTTCAGAAGAGTTCAATTTGTTAGAGAACAGAACAATATTGTCTTGTGGTGAGGATATATGAAGAGGTAAGCTCTTACAGTGAGTAATATGACATTAGAAATGTAAAGACAGGCTTGTGACAGGGCTTACAGGCAGGACAGTAACTTATTCATGTTGCAAACATACTAGGCATCCTGATTTGTTTAGGCAGGCTAATGCAGTGTATGAAAGAAAGCCGTATACCTTATCATCCTGTTATCTCTGTAGGATCAAAAGGAATTATTTCAATCATTTGGAAAGTATATGGAAAGGAAGCCATGATTGTTGTGATTCATATCTTCTTAAATTCTCATCTAGATAGGTAGCACGATCCCTTTCATTAAACATAGCTATTTTAATTTAAACATTTGTACCTGAGGAGATTCATAGGTGATCGTTTTAGTCTCTGTCTGAACAATTGGGACTTCTTTGGTGGATATTTCAGTTCTTTGTGAAGCATCTGAAATCGTCACCATCTCAGTTTTAATAAGTGGAGGCTAGTGTTCAGAAAATACAGAAGACTATATTCAAAAGTCATGAAACAGTAAAGTACACAGTATACAGACTACAATCGAGTTTGATGTGAGAAAATAATGGTTATTGTAAAGGTAACTTCAATTTTCTAAAGTCAAATCTTAACACCAGGTACACAATTCTGACAAACAATAGCATCAATAACCTACCTATAGAGCATTTTCAAACTATATTAGTAGATATTCTATTCTGTATTAAAGGATGTTAACAGATTAAGAAAAAAAGATGTCTAAGCCCTTTAAATATGCAATTCCAAAAATATCTTAAACAGGTATGAAGAACAGAATAAATCAGGCATTGTTAGGCTTCTCAATATACCAGTAATGCCTGACGAGGAATGGTCAAGTAAAATTTACTAAAGATGACAGTCAGTTATGAATCTATGCTACTTAATCCCTGCCTCTCCATACACCCAGATTTAGCTGATTGGCACTATTATTTTTTTGACAAGAATGCTTACTAAATCTATCATGTATACTAGGATACTTTTAAGTTGTTTTATTCCCTATCATTCACTATAATCTGACTGTATATTTTGGACTCAGAAAACTTTGATTTATCATCTATCTAATAATGTCTTTATATACCTGTCTAGATGATATAAAATAATGAGAAGTGTAAATGCAAAGGCTTTTGGCAAACAGCAGTAATCTGGTAATTAATACATCCAATGATGCTTTATGAAGTACAAATATCCATGTATGAATGTAGTGACATTGTGCCAAGCTCTAGACAGTAAATTTTCACAAATGTTTACAAAATCTTGTGTTCTAAGAGATAAATATCATATTAAACATGCTGGCTATTTTTGCCACACACATTACAAAATTTCATATTTTGTCATGAGAGACCGATCAACTAAATGCTCAAAGACTCATAAAGCATGCAAACAGAAGAGGAACATGAGAAACTTAAATAATAAAGAAGATGATATAATCCTAGACAAATTCCTTCTGAGAGAAAATTTGACTTCCCCCACTCTGCAATATTCTGAAATCTGAATAAGATAGAGAAGAAAGGCAGAAATATTTGACCCTATGATGAAGACACCTCCGGGTCACTTCCTCTTCTACCATTTACCTCTGAGCAACAAATTAATTGTGGTGAAACATCAATGTCAATATGTGATGCTTCTCCATTTAGTTTGGGTAGATCTTCTTCCTTTTCTTCTTTTAGGCCTTCATCATCCAATTTTCTTAACTCTGACTTTTCTGATGTCTTTGTGGAAGCTTCATTTGTCTGGACCACAGCTTCAGTCGACTGCTTGTGCTCAATTGCTGTTTGAATTGGACTGACTTCTTCTGAAAATTTAACACAAACTTCTGCTGCTGAGTTCTCTTCTTCCTCTTTGGTAGTTTCATTTTCTTCCCATTCTTCTTTTATAGTATCTTGTATAATCTGCTGGTGTGGCTGATACTCTCCTACTTCATCTTCACTCTCACTACTGCTGCTATTGGATGATAGTGATGAAGAGTCTTTTTTTGCTAGGTGTTCCATCTTCTGACTTTCCCCACTACCACAGACAGATGGCATTTTCCCCCTGCTGGTATCGTCTGTGACTACTGCCTCTGCTATCCCAACCTCTGCCTGTTTCTTCTCCACTATGTCCAGAGTCTCATGTGAACTCTGCACAAAACAAATGGGTGAGAAAAAAAACAAAAAGTAGAACATATGAATAAACAAAACAACAAACAGAAAAATAAAGGATGGGTGGTTTGGGTCATATGAAGAGCAAAGATGATTTGCAATTGTTAAATGAAGGAAAAAAACACAACAATAACAAACAAAGAAAAGACAAAAGAAGATTTTGAAATGTAAAAAGCTCTCAATGGACTATGGCAAAACAGTAGAACCTTAATAGTCCTGCTGGTTCCAATGGAAGGGTCTTCCGTTTGGAAAGTAAATTTCTGTGAAACAAAATGCAATTGGAAGATATATAAATACATTTTAACACTCAACTGACACAAACATCTGCATTTACATTTTACAACAGCACAGATGGGCTGATTATACACTCATACATTTCTGGGGTAATTTTGTTAGATCACAAACAAGAACATTGAAAATATAAAAATACTTGGACTGGTAATTCTATCAGGGCTTTATTATGGGCTATGTTAAATACCAATGTAAAAAATATCTCTCTCTCTCTCACCCCCCCTCTCTCTCTCACTCACTCACACACACACACACACAAATTGATAATAAAATGCTATTTTCTCATAAATATCAAAAGCCAAAACATCTAAGCTAATACTAACCAGTACAGACTTTATTCAGTCAAATCAAAAAACTGTTCATAAATTTTATATGTACATGCAGTGCTAGTTTCTAGCTAACTGGTAGGAACTTCAGAAGATGTTGCTACAACTATCAAAATATTCATATTTCACTGAAAGTAATAAGACTTCCTAAGTTATTATAATGTAGGAGCTAATGTAGCTCTAAAGAAATGTGAACTTTGTCCATAAAGATACACATCAGATGAAGGAGTTTATTTAATAATAGAAGCATAAAACAATATTACTAGAACAGAGTAATGATTTCCTGCTATACAGAAACTGACATTAACTGTTAACATTTAGCATCTTTTATGACCTATGCCATAGGTCCTACGGTATAGACAAATTAGTTTAACACAGCTTAAAAGCTGAATGATAGAGATATGAACAAATAAGAAAAGGGTATTTTTGTTCAATTAAACGTAGCACAGCATGTGTGACATAATAGGGAATTTTGGTTTTAACAAGTATAAAGTTTGACATTCATAGGTTTTTTCCAATGCATTATATATGTGTATCTATGTATATACACAAATAGTGAAAAGAAGTTTTAAGATCTAGCTCCAAGAAACATACAGAGGATGGTAAAATACTTTTACCTTACTAGTTTTTGCTCTACAAAACATTTTTCATTTAATATTTCATTAGCTATTGATTTTTTTAAAAAAAAAATATAAGTGCCTGTCGTCTAGTCATCTATTCTCAATGTATTTGGGGAGGTAACTCTGAAATAGCATTGATGGAAAAAACCCACCATTCAAATGTTTTCAGCATATTTTTGTTCCCATTGAACATTTAGGCTTTTCAAAATAATTTCAGCATACATATCTGTTGGACATTGAATTTATAGGACATAAGCACTTATCTGACATGTTTAAAAATTGCCCATCCACCCATCCACAACTCTATGGCTTTGATTTGGGAAAAGGAAATGTGTAAGAGCACCTCAGGTAATAGCTGAGAGATGGACGAGGCAGAGAGTTTTTCAGAAGGTACATTATCTTTCCCAACAGCGCCCTCTGCTGTCCACGAGAAAGCTGAAGTGAAGGCAGTTTTCATGCTAGTGGAAAACCCCTCTTTACTAAATAAAATGGATGCTATCTCCTCTTCTAGGCTCTAGACAAGTTAGAAAGTGGAAATCAACAAATTAACAGTAGAAGACAGAAGTAAGCTGAAAGAGAGAAAGAGAAAGAAACGGGGGGGAGGAAAAGATCATGCAAGAAGAGAAATACATAGAATGATATATTCAAATGTGTTTTCTTAAAGATAGAAGATAGAAATTATTTTACTTCTATGACAAAAATATATTTTATAGTTAATTCAATATTTGCCATTGCATTTAATCCTCTTCTATTTTTAAAACTATAAATTTCAAATTAAAGCACCCTGACATGACATGTCCATTAAAACATGATCATATTTTCAATTTTTTCTCCTCTACGTATTAGCTGAATTTGTTTAATAAATTTACTCTTCTTGTAATATTAATACTACAGATAAGAGTACATTCAACAATGAATGTGTGTAATAAACCTGCATAATTAATATGAACCAAATGTTTTTATTCTGCTTAATTTTGAATTTTTATTTAAAACTTTTACCGTTTTGCATGTAATGTATAATACCTCAGTATGGAAGATAGACGGTAAAGCTGGAGTTAATTTGTAACACAAATTGTAATAAGACTACAGTTGAACTAATACTCAGTTTTAATTGTCTAATTATTTTTGAATAAAATGATTTGCATATATAAAAACAAGATGGATCAAATAGAAGCATTTATCCAACAACTGTTTCAAAATACAGCAAAAAAAGTACCTTGAGATATTTGGATAATACTTGAAAGGAAGAATTACAGCTTTGTGAAGGGGGAGAGGGATAAACCCACAATTTTATTTTTAAAAAATATTTAAATAATATAAAACATCTCTCTTCTTTTGTAAAGCTCTAACTTCATTTTCTTGTTAAGGCTGCAAAAGTTCTACATTTACACTGATAGATTAAACTTAATATATTTGCCATACACCAAGATTTCTCAATTTGTCTAATAGTAATATGGTTAAAATTACAGTATATCTTGATCAGGAGTATACTACACAGCATCTAATATTGCTCTAACAGGTTATTGTAATATTTACTTTTTCCTGAAAAGACCCTGTGCTTTCAAATAGGTAAAAGCAATATGAAATGATTACTGAAGTTGCCTCATTTAAATATTTTTGCCTGTGTGTGTGTGAGCATGCACATAGCCACAGACACACTTTATAGCAATGATAAAATTCAGGAATAAGATTTATCAATGCTATTATTTATTTATTTATACAATTTTTATGCTGCCCATCTCCCCTACAAGGTAATTCTTGGAGGCCTACATGTAAAAACATAATGAAAATATTAAAATGACACAGATTAAGATTTTAAAAACTATACTGAAACCAGAACTAAGAGATGGACAGGATGTAGCATAAGAAGCTGCAATAGTAACATTGTACAATTACATGTAACATTCATGAGCATAGAATAGTAGACAAGAAAAAGAAAAGAGTGAATTAGAAGCAGACCCTTCAGTTTGTAAACTTTATAGATTTTAGGTAAACTAAGTAAATCTGTCTGTATACATGATAAATTTTAATATTACATATAAATTCTACCCTACATGAATGAAAATATGTATGAAGGCTAACACTAGTATAATTATCTCATTAAATGGGTGCCATTAAATAAACTCTACTACATTACAATTATATTTACTTTCTGCTCAGTAATTTGGTATATACCCAGATGAAGAAATATAGAACATTATTATTAATGAAATCCAAATAACTGGAAATTATGTAATGCTTGCAAAATTATTCCATCATATATACGTATTCTATCACATATGCTGTGCTAGGCAATAGTGGATGAAAATGCTGTTCAAAATACCAGATAGTTCATTAAGAGCTCTGAGCTTGAGGAAAAACAAGTATTCTTCAAACTTAAAAAACTGACACTGTACTGGGGATAGCTTATTAAAGTTTAAATTGAATATCTACTTTGGAAATTGCTATCTGCTAGAGAAAAAAAGGCAACATACTGAACAATTAAGTACAGTAATAACAACAGATAACAGGTGCTTAGAAGTATAGGAATAAAGGATAAGTTTTTAGGCAGCCTCATTTACCATTCCTTTGTGCTCTTCTGTCAACTGGTAGACCCTTTAAGTCCATTCCTATTCCACTGAAGGCATATTCCCATTGCTCTTACTTTACATACATTGTGGGAAATTTGTATTTTGTTTTCAAATCAACATGGAAGAAGAAAGTCAAAGAGCTTTACAAAGTGTCAACCCACAAGGTAGAGTACCTCTCAGAAATATAGGCATTGTAATGTATGCAATTTTTGTATTCAAAATCCGCAGAAATGTCAGACAAGAATGTCCAGCAAAATGCCAGCACATTGAAAAAGAGTATCTTGTGAACTAGCTAAAAAGTTTATATGCTGTCTTACACGAGAAGCTACATACTACTTTTCCCAGAATATTCAACAAATGAATGACTAATCTCACTGTGTATAGGATATAATTTATACTATACAAATACATCAAACTTATTTTATGAATCTATAAAGTTGCACCAATATAGCTTACAGAAAAGTGACGAAAAGACTCTAAGTCTCCTAGTGCATATATATTTTATAATGAAGTCCTGGTCAAATCAATAGGATAACCCCAAAGTCAACAATTTCTGGACTGCAATTTTCATACCAATTAAAACTGTATTAGAAAAGCACTAAAATATTTGGCTCAAAATTCAAATTCAACTAATCTATGCTACCAATAATCAGGTTGGTAGCAATTTCCAACAAGAATCTCTAAATGCCAATTTATTAAAGTACCCTTCTAAGTTGGTATCCTTATTTTTCTACACAATTGTTAACTATGATTCCTAATTGAATAATGAAGGTATTATACTAAAGTTCCATATAGACACTCTTAATGCTATTATGTTTTAGGATCTTCTAATACTATAAATCCCTGATGTTCTCACTACATTGCATTCTTCAGCAATCTTAAATATATTAGTTTGTCAGATGGAGAGAAATTGCTGTAAATGATGCTTCTCCTCTACTTTCCTTTTTCTCATAGATTGTGTCCTGCCGTTTACTGTAAACAGTGAATCAACAAAGCTACGTACTTAAAATCTTTGAATGAATATGATTAGAACTGCACTATTAAATGTTACTCTGATGAACTATAACTAATATCTTCTGGTTTTCTTACAACTTGTGAACAAAGCAAAACATGCACATAAAGTTAATAAGTATTAGCCGCAAATAAATCTCACATTAGCAGTGAAGAGACAGTTCTTATTTTTCTTATTAATATGAAATAATACATATTGTTTATATGGAATGCTGACAAGGGTCTTTAATGACATACCCCTTGTGCCTGTAGAGTTAGAGGTGTGATACGCCGTTTTTCCCATTCATTGGGGCGTGGCTCAGGAGTGGATTCCATAAAATTGCGCTTGAGTTCACTAATGCTAGCCTGATGCTTCAGTAATTCATCCTGAGTCTTATCCAGTTCCTACCAATGTGTAATGTAAAAAGAGCAGGGAATTCATACAACAAAGACAATTTTTAAAAAACACCATGAAAAGTGCCTAGTGTTTTGAAAATATAACAGCAGCTTATCAATTAAAAATATTCATTTATACTTTTTTCAGGAAAATTAATACCTTGTTTTTATTTCCATTATAATGTTGAAAACCATGTAGTACACATATTTCAAATAAAATATGTGTTGCCACACTACTAATATTGTGCCGGCACATTTTAAAGTTTTTATGCACCGTGATGCAACCTGACGCAAAACTGTGGTGAAATGTAGCCTGGATTCCCAGGAGGAGGGGCTGCATTCCAGAGAACAAAGATACAGTGAAGTTTAGAATTGAGATAGTTTGATTGAGAGAAAGAGGGTCAGGGCAGGTCCTCCTTAGAAGTTCTCAGTATATCTTTAATAAAACAAGTAGTTGGTTGGCAAAATTTCTGCCTCTATGTGAGGAACAATACAAGAATCTCTTAAAAGTAAATCTGCATGTCTTTCTTGGGTTTTGGAACCTGACAAAAACACAGTAACTTGGGCAGATGGTTGCCAGGGCCTTTGCATTACCTACTAGAATGAAATAAATTCTACAAATATGAGAAACTGATGTTTATACAACAAATGAATTGCTGCCATGAGTCTGCATATTCTAAGCTTTCTGACAAGTATTACTTGTAATTATAATTGCCTTTGTTATAAATTATAGAATCAGACCATTCATTTTACATCAGTGAAGAAAGGGACTGGGAATTAGAGTGGCTTGGCTTGGCTAACAGAGTAAAAGCCAGCATACGCTCTTGCTGCAACAATGATCTTTATCAATGAATTTGCATTTATTTGCAGGAATACAATGCACTAGAGGAGAAAAGTAAAATAATTTATTTGGAAATATTTTGCTGGAAATCCATCTTTCCTTGTCTGGCAATGAATTTACTCGGAGGAAGCAGCAAACTCCATTATTACCTTTTTTAATTGCACAAAATATAGCTTAATGAAAACAGATGACTTTGTCATCCACCTATTGAGCTTTCAGATGAATTATTTCAATGTATAAACCTGACTTCTGCAGTTGTTTCAAAATAGTATGTCATTATTAATGACACATGAAAGAGGAAGGACAAAAACTACTCTGCAATTAATCTGCAAATTAATTTATAAAACAAATGAAATAGTAAGGAATACTATTCCTTGGGCTAAATTATTAATTTAATTAAACTGAGAAATAACTTTTATATTATCCTTGTGGCGATGAAGCTAAGAGGATACATAGAGGGAAGACTGAGAAAACTAATATACTGTATATGTTAAGGAGAAAAAGAAAAAGATTCAGGATTATGCTGGTGAGAGACAACATTAAAACAGCAAGTAGAGAAAATATTTTCCCACAGTCTTGGGGAAACTGGATGCTTTGTATTGCTATTCTTATAAACAAATATCTTATTTGACAAGATTCAAGCATAGCAATCTATGACAAGATAAACTATATAAATACAAATAATTTTGAGGGACAATTGAAATTTTAATGAGAATCTAAAAAATGGAAATTAACTGGAATTTGTTATAACTTGTGTCAATATATTTTTAAAAAATAATTTTATGATTAGGCACTTTTCTTGGATTTGTTCAATGCAATGTTATGCAATAATCTTAATAATGTTTTGATAAAATTAGGCCAATATATATTAAATTATCAGAAGCTGCCAGAAAGCAATGGAACATGTTAGCAAGGTTACTGCAAATCTACAGGTCTATACATTATGTATCTACCTATCTCAGAGATATCCTAAATTTAATATTGGAAATAGCCCCATCTGGATGATACATTTTTATTTACCAATTATTCTGTCAAAAGAGTCTACATCCACAATTTTATCTTCAAAACCTTGGCAATCAGTACTTCTTTCTTGGTATCATAAAAACTAATTGATAGTATTATAAAATTAAACTTACAATGCTTTAGAAAGTTTGGTATGTTGGCCACAAATAATTTAGGAAGAGAATTCGGAATTTCTGTTCTAACTTGAAAGCCACATTTTCTCTATTCTTATACTTCCACTCAGGTGTAAGAAGTGTTATAACATACTGAAAGTTCTGAGTGCTGTCTCTATAAAGTGATAGGCATTTCTAAAAAGTCCTGTTTCTTTTAAGTCTTAACATCTAAACAGGGCCATGTCCTGCTTGTCACTGCAAAGTATTTTTAACAGCTGCCAATGTAGCTCATTTTACAGAATTACCAAAATAGAACATGCATGTTCAAATTGAACGTCTCCATGCATTTCATGCATTGTGCCCAGAGCAGCCTGCAAGTGATTTCCCATCTCATGCAGCCTAGCAGCCCATGAGAACAGAAAGTACTCCTTTAATTATACAGACCTCCAACATTAAATTGCTATGTCTGACATAAAGATTTTCCCCATTTACTCTCAAGGAATAAATCTGTAAAATTAAATCACATACACACAAACATAAAAGAGAACAAGGGGGAAAAAAAGCCCATGATCATCAAAACAGCCAAAAAGTGCTTAAAAATTCAATAAACAGGGCTTTAAAATTAAATACAGAAGGGCACCATGCAAACATAAACTATAGAAGCTTCAAACACTAATAATACAGACAGCAACCTTCTTGTGAATTTTGTCCTCTTCCATTTCCGTCTATATAGTGGAATCACCCAGAGATCAGCAAAAAAGGAGAATTAGAGGAAGCTACTGGAACATGATAGAATCTTTAACTGGAAATACTGCAAACAACTTAACCTATTTACAAGTACAGAATGTATTGGCTTCAGATATTGGTCAATGTATTAAACCACCAGTCACAATGGCTGAAATGGAAATTCTGTCATTCTACAGACAGAACTCTATATTAGTATATTTTTATCCATAACTTTAAAGGAGTTTTAAAAACAGAATAGTTTGAAAAAATAAGTGTTCAAAACTCAAACACATTTGAGTGCGCTATTATAATTACAATATAATTAGAATAAAGTCTGCTCAATAAAATAGTCTCTCAGGATTTTCTTTGTTTTGTTAAAAATGTTTGAAATCAACAGAGATCATTCAAGTCCAAAACAAATTGATAAATTTGATCTTGGTACACGTGTAATGTCAAACTCAGATTAAGATTTTAACTTGCAGCTCTCCCACTCATCATACATTTTAATGAATTATTTTATATTTAATACCTATTTATCATTACTATTAATAATATTTATCTAGATATGTGCAAAATGTTTCAAATTCAAGTTACTTCGGCATGGTGTAGTTGTCCATTTTTTAGCATGAAACTGATTGTTGCATTGAATTTTAAAAGTGTTTTAGGTGTTAGGTATACTTCCAAAATGGTTGAAATAGACCATGTCTCTCATAATTGGGTTTTCAAGCCTATTTGTTACATAAACCAATAGTGCAAACCACTATTTGCAACTGGTTGGCAGTCCTTTACAGGAGAAGAAGCACAAGTCATCTTTAGATGCAGTCGATCTGCATTAACAGTAAGACAAGACATTACTGGAGTAGACAATGAGACTGAAAATACACAAATACATAGCTCACTCATATAATATTGAACTATGGTTTGTTGTTATATATTGAATCGTTTCCACCCTTGCCACAGTCAAGAGAGAGCATCTGGAAACTCTTGTTAACCTATAGCATTTTTTATTCTAAAAATCTGGTAGTTAATCTTACTGATTTAGAGCCTGCTCTGGATAACACTGGAGAGAAAATTTAAATCCAAGATTTGTAGAGCAATTATAACCAGAAAAAAAAATCAGAAAGTTTAACAATATTTAATTGCTTCCTCAGGAAATTATTGATATTGTATGACCATGTTGGAGAAGATGGAGTGGGGCCAATGTAAACACTAGAGCAGAGGTAGCACAGAAAATTATGGCCCTCTCACTTACAAAATATTATTCAAACATAATGCCAAATACAACTGACAAGTTACTTTCAACAAGATTAGTAGGTTTAACATTTGCCCATATCAAAGAGATATATATTTATGTGCTCTCTGGTAAACACTGGCTTCAATTCTAATTCTTTTTGAAAGTTAAATTCCCCCAATCTCCCCATTCTATGAAGAAATGTTGTTTCACATTCTGATTAACACTGAAATATAATTCCAACAAAGGGCCTGCTTTAAATGTACTGTATTCAAAATTCAAGACTATTATCTCAGTTCTTTTTCTGGCCCAAGGGTTATATTTGATATGAGTGGCACGCAAGATGCAATATAGGATGGATTCATGATTAATGCTTTTGTTTCATTAATATTTAATTAAGTATAAGTATATTTAATAAGTTTGCTTTTCAATGGGTTTAATAAGTTCTAATAAGTTTCTAGAGTTTTGGAAAACTCTAAGAAGCCACAACTAAAGTTTCAAAAATCATATGCAGCTTTGCCATGACATGACAAAAAAAAAATCAGATTTAGCTATTGAATTCCTAACCTGTGACCCCTGTTGAACAATTCCCCAAATCAATTCCTCTGAAAAATCGTTTATGGACAACAGAAAGGACTTGCTTTGAAGTTGGTTTGTATCGGCAAACCCTAATTAAGACTGTGATTTATTATAAGTGAAAATAAAGGCTTTTGCCCTCCTCCTATAGCTGGGTTGGAGGAAGGGATAGTACACAAACTTGTATTGTATAAAGCCTTGTTCTAATCATAATACACAACTGCTTATTGTTACATTTGAACAAAGCCTTTTGAGTATTTGTCAAAATGAGACACTAGTATCTAAAAGAAAAAGGCAGAAATATCTAACAGAAATAGAAGAGAGAACACATATTAAAGGAAACCAATTCTATTATTTTTCAAACAACTAAGGAATGCTAAACAATTTACAGAATATTATATCTAAAGGCCAGTTGCTTGTTTAGCAAGTTGTATTTTCATCTCTGGGAATGTCTTGACCTAATCCATTTTGGAAGAGATATACCATAAGACTAGCACCTAAGTGCATAGGTTTGAATAGACTTGATTGCTACAAGCATGAAGCAAAACTTCAATGTAAAAAGAGTTTATTTAATTTAGGGATGTGAAATCTGAGACCCTCCAGTAGCCTAAGATTGCATTTCTGAAATCTGATGGCCAGTTTTTAGCAGTGCAATTTTTGATTTGAGAGTTTCTAAACATATAGGAAACATCTTAATATAGCTTGTGTTTAAAACTTCTCTAAGAATAGTATCAAGTAGATCATACTATTTATCTACTTTTTAATACTGGAGAATTTATATAGATGGTCATGTATCAATAGATGGCACTAAATACCACAGCCACCTCGGCCTCATTCTGGAAGTACAGATTACCTCTAAACATGTGTAAGCAAATTTATATAAAAGACAATTAGGCAACAAAGTTACACACCTTTTCTTCCTTTGCTTTGTCTGTTAGAGTAGCGCCATTAAAAAAGTTCAGAGAAGTTGCTTTAGGCTCCAGGTTGCAACAGAAGGATAGGAAGGGACAATGTGAGTGACAAAGGAACTGATTAGAAAGCAAGGAGAAATGACACAAATAATGTGAAAGAAAGAAAGAAATGAGAGAGAAGTACCAGAAAGATACTGCTGAACACCAAGTGGGGAGGAAGGAGATATACGCTCCTGTAAAACTAGGAAATCCAACGCAGCTATCCTTATCAAACCATGCAGGGAAACTAAAGAAATCCATTTTCTCAAACTAAATACTGTAGACACAGCACCTTCATTTTCAGTAATTTTATCAGCTTCTCTGTCTATTGCAAGAAGAAAAAAATGCTACTAGTAGGTAAATGATTTATCTTCATTTCTATTACTTTCTGGCTTTTCAGCCAAAGGACTGAGAATTCCTGCTATCTGTGCAGATTTATTAAGATTACTATAATCTAAAATATCTAAAAGCATGTCAATTTCATGAATATCGATTAAGTCTGAGGAACAGGATGAAAGGGAATGAATGGAAGGTGAAAACTGATGCATAAATGCATAGAGAGAGAAGGGGGAGAGGAGAAAAAGCAAAATGGGAGGAGTACAGTGGTAGAGAAAGTCTAATCTGAGATGCAGACCATGACCATAATATAAAGATGTATTTGTAAGCAGAAGAAAAACATGGAGAAGGGGAAAGGGAGACATTTGTTAGTGAGAATTTTTATTCAAAAATAGGATGAGCAGTACTGTTAGAATATGAATGCATAAACATTTATAAGCCCCATTTGTTATCTAATTAAACAACATACAATCCAAACATTTGGATTATGACATCTCAAACAGCTTTTTGTTGTCTGTGAAGAGCAGTGTAAATGGAAACAGACAGACATTCAAAGCTTTAGCAGAAGGGGAGACGGCAGCATAAGGACACACAATGCTTCTAATTATAGATCTTGAGAAACTTCCAGATTTTAAATCAGACTTACAAAGCAGTTAAATATTTAGAATTGTGAATATTTAATCATTAAAGCACAAACATTTTCTATTCCAACAGTTATTCAATGGTTTAAAACCCTAAGAGGCAGATCATAATCTGATCTCATGTTATGCTAGTCAGTATACTAGTCCACACCTTCTCCTATGTAGGCTGGTAATACAGTCATAAAAACAGCCACAGAATTTGAAGCTACACTATAACTACTAGAACTTAGGTAGTAATCAAATTTAATGTTATTTGTGCAAAATTGATTTTCAACAATCATACCTTTCCATCTTCTAATTGTGACATTTTAGTAATCCCTCCATCCACATCTCTGCCTTCCTCATCTTTTAACTTGTACTGTCCAGCTATTTCAAAGGTCCTCTCACCAGCAGCAACAGGAAAGTCCTTTAGCAGACTCTGGTCTACAATGCCTACTGGAGCTGCAAAAATATATTAAAAAAAACTCCCCTATTAGTTTTCAGATGAATTCTACTTTTGTTTCCTTTAAAAAACAAATAAGCATTCCACCAAGATAAGTGGATACATCAGGGTTCAGAGTACCTGGTGGTCAAAAAGCAACAGTACGGGGTCATATTTTTTATAAACCTGGTTAGCATTATATGGTTAACTGGGAGTAATGTCAAAGCTCACTCTGGACTTGGCTCTTCGTTTGACCTGTGTAAACCTGGACAAGGCAGCTGCTGTCCTACAAATCTGATATCTATACAAAAATGGTATAGAACTTAAAATTTAATTACAAGAAGTGGTATACTTCTTTCTTACCCACATTAATACCGATGAAATAAGTTTATTCATGTGGGGTGGGTGGAGTTTATTATTTTAGGAAACTATGATATCATGTAGTTTGAGAAAATATGCTGTCAATGAAGTTTTGGAAAGGGGAGATAAAACACAGTAAGATAGAATTGTAATAAAATTACAATAACATTTGACTATAAACAAATGTTACAATCAGAATATAAATATGACTAGATACATTTTATATATGTATAATATAAAAACAAACTATTTTATCACAGTAAAAATGTTATAGTTGCAGTATTTATAACACGTCCTATTTCTGCATATTTGTGCAGGTATACGAGTGAAAACTGCTGTATAAATTAATTACCTAAGCTTCTGATTTACTGCTGAATGTTCTAGTCCATGACTAATGACTCAAATAGCAGCTTATAAATTACTCTTTGTGATATGTTTGGTTAACTGTATTTTCCATACATAGAACAAAGATCAGTTAACTTGGGCTATATTCTCCAATTAATTTTGAATTGGCCAATTCTCCTTTTTGACTTTGGATAAGATGCTTAGCTATAAACAAACCATGGACAAGCAGTTTGACAGCCACAGTTCTGCAAGAGGAAGTAGAGGCAACTTCTATGGAACCGCTCTTCAATACATTTTTTAATCCAATCCAATCCATTATTTACTGAAAAAAGTGTTTCTACTGAAAAAGTAGCATTTCTATTTTAAAGAACAGGTTCAGCAGGATTTCTCTTTAAAAACAGGTATGTCAAGACTTATGGAAAATGTATTTTCTACATGAAAGCTAAAAGACAAACAGGGTTACAACTATTCCAATGTATAATATTTATATATAGGGAATAAATAAGAAAAATCACTATAGTTTCTGTCCAGCTCTTACCACCATCAAGACTCCTGGAAATTCGTTTGCTTGACGTCCGTTCAAAGTACGGGGCAGGTCTATCTATAAGATTGCTAGCCTGGCGTGTTTGTGCTTGAGTACGTCCACTGTAACGGAACTTGGAGCCCAGTGTCAGAAATTTGGCTTTCGGAGGCTGTTCTGGTGATACAAGCCTACAACCAAGAAAAAGTGAACAAGGTCACTTCCAGACAATAAAAGGATAATCACTAAAAAAAGTACCTCGTTTTTTTCTTTAATAAATTATACCAACTGATTTCTAGGAATTATAAAACAGTCTATATATTTCTGAAAATATTCTCTTAATATTGCCTTTTGTTTATATGTACCATACTGGATGTGGCAAGAGTGCCTTGTATTTTACTTTTTCTTAGGACAAGAAAGATGACATTTTATTATAAAATTGCTGCCAAAAATTGTAATTCATGTGCTAGAGCAAGATTTCAAATGCTTTTAAGCTGCGGAATGAAAGGAAAGGAAAATAATGAAAGGAAAGTACTGGAACTTCAGATTAAGACAAAGCTATGGTGATAAAAACTGGCAGCATATGAGTGAACCTTTTCCCCCTTAAGTCTCTCATGGAACCCATCAAGTTTATGTAGAAGTTTAGTTTCATGGGACATAGTTTCAAAAACCATGTACTGGAGCAGTATTTTTCAAACTTGGCAATTTTAAGATATGTGGACTTCAGCTCACAGAATTCCCCAGCCAGCATGCTAGAAGATTATGAAACAGAGACAAAAAATATTTTCCAATGGCAATCTTCATATTTTAAAGAATAGACAGTGTTCATACATTTACTCTTCTAACCACATTCCCTATTTTTCTATATTCAATTTCTTGTTCCTAGCAAGAATGCTAGGATTTAAGTAGAGTACAAGGCTATTTTAGTATTATAGGAAAAGTAAGTTTCAGAAGAACTTTCTTTAAATGTATAAAAGGTAATCAAGTGAAAGAAGAAAATAAGAGGTAAACTCTAACCCTAATTATCATGAAGGAAACTGAAACTCTTGGACTAAGCTACTTACATTAATGACAGTTTGAACTGCTACATTATTTTGCTTGCCACCTCCTTAGAAGCACACCATGAATATACATAATTAGTTGGAAGTCATAATATGAATTACTATTTATTTCAAGGACACCTGCATAAAATCTCTCAGTTTAAAAGAAACGAACACCAGTAACAAGACAGTATTTTTTATTCCCCTCTCCTCAGAGATTGTTCTTATCTGGAGATACAGTATTCAAGGAGCACATGAAGATGAAAGTTGTCATAATCATAATTATTATAATTTATATGTTCCATACTGGAAGACTTTGAGGATCTTATAATAAAAGCAAGAATAAATACAACTGTAATTAATCTAATGACCACCATTTGCAGACAACATGATCTTATTAGTCTAAAAATGCATTTCTGAAGAATCATTTTGTTATGGTCCTCCATTAATGTAATACGGATAGTTTCATTCAAATATCTGTGGAGTAAGTTATCCCCAAGATGGAGGATCATCACTGAATATACTTGAGCCTGGACTCCCTGAAAATTGCACACCCTCCATGGTAGGACTGTCAAGAAGCCCACACTCCCACCTCGCACTAAACGGCCAGATTCAATTCAGAGAAGGCAACCACAGCGGTATCCCAGCCCTGAACCAGTTAAGATTTAAAGGTGACAACCAGCACCTTAACTGGCAGCAATAATCGTATTATATGGGTAAACCTTAGAACAGACGTAATTACACCAGCTGAAACTTCAAGGATGATCTTCAGAAGTAATCCCATGAAAACACATTGCAATAATCCTGCTGTGAAGTGACACAGGCATGAGCGGCTGTAAGTAAAGCCTCTTGATTCAAGAAAGGCCACAACTGGCACACATTATAATTCTGGGATTGTGGGAATTTGGATGGAGAACAAGCTTCAGCTCAACCCTAGCAAGACTGAGTGACTTTTGGGCCCTTAGGTTTTGAAGCTGGATGTGTTGCACTACCCCAATCAAACCCTGTACACAATTTAATGAATTTTCTGGACACATGATTCCTATTTGAAGAATAGTTGGCAATCATGGCATGGATGCCTTTGCACAACTTCATGTTATACACCACCTATACATATTCCTGAACTGGGAGGTTCTACTCTCACCTAGGCCCTGGTCAGCTCCCAAATGGATTACTGTAAACGGGGCTGCCCTTGAAAAGCATCCAGAAGCTTCAGTGCATAGTAAGCCTATGCTCCATGACCTGTATTGACTGCCAATCTGCTTCCAGGTTCAATTTAAGATGCTGGTTATAAAGTCCTAATTGCATTGGCTGGGTTATTTTTGGGACTGCCTCTCCCCAATTATATCTACCCATCCCATCATGGCAATCAGAAAGGGCAGGTTATGGCTTCCATCAATTAAAGAATGTCATCTGACAGAACTTCAGAGGAGAGCCTTTTCTGCCACAGTGCCTGCCTTTTGGAATATCATCCCCCGGAGGTTAGATTGGCCCCAACCCTGTTTACCTTTTGAAAGGCTCTAAAGATATGGTTGTGTGAATAGGCTGGGATCTGGTCATGGTTTAGAGCCTGCTAGATGTTTACATTGATTGATCCATAACTTTTACTTGCCTGCTTTTTTGTTTTTCGGTTTTAATTTTGGTTTTAATTAGGCTTTTTATTTGATTTTTAAAGGTTGTTGTGTTTTTACTGCTTTCCTGAATTTTATTGTGTTCTTTTGTTTTTTTTTAACTGTATGAACCACTCTGAGTCACAAATGTGAGATGGATGGCTATACAAAATGAATAAATAAATTCTCTTTCATTGTTACTGTTTTATGTGAACCACATTATTAGAGCTGAACAGTAATACAAACTCAAATAAATAAATGACAAACTAAATAAATAACATGTAGTACTCCATGCACAGTGACAGAGGATGCAATCTCTCCCCACTCATCACCAAGAACCCAGCCACTCAGGAAGCAGGTTAATTGCCAAGGACCAGGGCCCCTGACTTCCAACCCTGGCTGTTGGTCTAAAAGGTCAACATGGTCATGGCATTGACAGCCACCCGGAGATCAAAGGATGATCAGGATAATTGTACTACTCTTTCATCATTATGCCAAATATCAAAAAGAGCAACCAGTGCTGTTTTGGTTTTCCACTTGGGCCTGATTCCTAACTAAATAGGATTCAGATAACCTGTTTCATCCAGGACAATCTGAAGTTGTAATTGACAACTGTCAACAGTTTTATAAAATAATTGGACTGGATGATGATTACTTAAGGAGGACAGGTTACCATCACCTCTTTCAAGATGGAGGGCATATACCACTGCCTACATCCAGTTCCCAACAGTTCCCTGGCTGCTTTCACCAACCAGGTAGAGCAAGGAACTAATCAACAGATGGCAAAGCTAACAATGCAGATGATGCTGCCTTATTTTCTTAGCAGTCATATGCTGAAAACAATCTAAATAATTCCAGAAATATACCTGTTGTCTCAGCTGGATTTGCCCAGCTGGTGTCCAAGTGAATGTGAGTGATTTTATCTTTCAAATGCTTAGTGAAGTCACAGCAATGGCCTAGTACAGAGGTCCCCAACCTCCAGTTCCATGGAGATAGGTTTCTCTGTGGACTGGAGGATGCATGGTTTTGTGTGCTGCCTGCATCACGAGGATGGGGCTTTGCTTGTTTGTGCAGACCAGTTGCTGGCATGCCACAGCCCAGTTCTGGTCCACGGACCAGGGGTTGGAGACTCCTGGCCTAGTGGATCATTTTCCGGTTTGATTTTTTTTTTTCTAACAGGGATTATGAATTTAATACTGTTAAATCAAGATCTGAACTTCTTAGGGATTTTCTGCATAATGGCATCAGTTATAATAAGGCAATATAAAATAGCAGGGATCTAGAACAATTAGCACTTTTAGAAACATGATTTTGTCCCTATTCAGAGTAAGAATAAAAATGCTTGGGTGTTTCTTTATACAAGATGTTCAAGGTGAAAATGTCACCAAAAATTTAAAAAAATCTCTACCTTGAAATATGAAATCAAAAATATAAAGACATTAAAAGTAAAAGACAACTACATTAGCTGAAGATAACTAATACTTTAAAGAAAAGACTTTGTATTGCTTGTAGGAAAGGTCATCAGAAAGTGATTGGGCCATCACAGAAAAAGTCCTTGAAATCTCACAGGTGTCAAAGAAAACAGGCATAAAAGTCTGCATGGAGGGGAAAGGGGACAGGGTAGTTCCTGTTTTGTTGGATGATCATAATCTCCAGATACTAAGCTTTCATTAAGAATACCTATATTGCATATAAGATACACATGATGCATTTATAAAAAAAAGCTAACTATTTCCAACATTTTGCTGGTATATGTACATTTTAAAAAAGGCACAGCAGGTTCCAAAACTGATTGTAATTGGTTGGTGCTAATCTGATTGGTGCAATTTATTAAGCACTAAATTCTTGCAAGTTTTAGTTTATGACACATTTTTCTTAATGCAGGCTTTAAGCTAAAGCAAAATGTAATTTGGTGCTTCAGAATTAAATTAGGCACAATTGAATCAGACACAATTGTTAGTGGCTTTATAGATAAGTGTCTGACATCTCCACCAGGGAGAGTAGCTCTTCATAGGACATTCCATTGATATCCCATCAGCAGCCTTATCCATTATCGCTTGCTAATCATTGCATCATGGAAAGTCATTTTTACTTCATCTAGGACCAAACAAGTTTATTTAGGGCTATGAAATCTTAAAATTTTCACAGGTTCTGAAATACAACTCTCAGCAGCCCCAGCCAGCTAAATATGTAGTATGATGAAAGTTGTAATTCAATGGCATCTAAAATTAGAAAATCAAGATTTCTCCCTTAATATGTTGTAGCAATAAGACTCCTGTTATGAACATTTCTTTATGTATTGTCTGGAAAGCAATTTCTATCGGTAGATTGCACGCTAGTGCCAGTAAGCTTATTCCTCATGTTAATTATCTTCAGGGAAAAAGAGATTAGAACAGATTCTATACAGATTTCTAATGGTTATAATCCAAAGCATTAGTCAGTTACTAGATTGAATACAGATAGTCCTCACCAACTGCTGTGTTCAGTGACTGAAATGACAATGGTTCTGACAAAAATAACTTCAAGACTGATGCCTACATTTACAACCTGTGCAGCATCCCTCATTCATGTGACCACCATTACTGATAGTACTATCAAGTGCTTGTTTTTTCCTCCTTGCTGAGCAAAGATTGAGAGAATGGAATTACAACAGAGTAAGAAGGCATGCACTGAAAGCAATGTACTGGCATTAGTAGTTGTGAGCATGCCACAATTCCCCATAATGTGCCTGCTTATTCTCTCATAATCCCTTACTCCAAACTCTCTGATCCACAAGGGGAAAAAAGAAAAGAAATTATTAATTTCTTTAGGCAATCTCACCTGTACCTGATCCATTCTCTCCACCTTGCAAAGCAGAGAGATTGGGGAGTGGGAAATAAATAAAGCAGGCTGCTTGCATAGTATGCTGGCATCAGTGCACTACTTCCAATGTGTATTCCCCATTGTGTGCCTCCTTAGTCTCTTGTAATTCCTTACCCTCCAATGAAAGTAAATACAAACATTAATTTCCTTCTTGCTAATTATCCCATTGCTGGGATAAGCATTCCAAAGTGTGGGGGAACAAACAGTTAGGAAGCAAACAAAAACTGAAGATGTGAAACTGTTTAGTCTAGTCAGTTTGTGAAAGTTCTCCCAGCACCTCTAGAGTGACCTCCAAAGTGGAGGAGGGGAGTGGGCAAATGAAAGCACAGTCCAGTCACATGACTTCCCTCTTAGCGACCGCTTTAATAATGGAGTTGTCAGTCCCAATTGTGGTCAGTAAACCACAATTTAATTAACAGTCTTTAGCACTAATGTAATCCTAAAGATCTTTCATACAGTTAAAAATGTGGATCCAGGCACAAAATGGGCAATTCTGGAAAAAGTATGCAATCTTAGAAGGACATGTTTTCAATCCAGAACTCAAGTGATATGTAAGTTTAATATAGCAGATATAAAAACTACCTGATAACAAACAGAAGACAAAATAAATGATTTAGGATCTGTTAGGTCTGTTAAAGGCTCATAAAAGAGTATCAATTTCTCCTCCATACCAAGTCATTCTTTGTAGAGCTTTGCTTCTTTCCAATAAAAGATTACCAATGCTTCCAAATGGGAGAAAATCATTCTAGAACATTTTTTTTCTGACAAGTTTCAAGACTGTCAATCCTATAGTTAAAATGGTTATGCCAGAAGCTATTAACATGATAATAGGTTTTCTGCATTTTGTGCAGTTCACTCTTCTTTTTCCTACTGTTAGGGGTTTTTTTTTTCTGTCTTCCACCTTTAATAAAGCTTTGTTGATTTCTGGATTATTCTTGGATAAAGATTGAATCAAAAAGTCTTTAGCATTAATGCTTTCAAGGTCCCAGTATTTTCTGCCACCCTGAGTAGGCTTTTAAATATGACAAAATGAGACTAATCAACAAGATGCACAAATGCAGATACTGAGTTTCATTTACACACAGCTGTGAGTTGCAATCACCCAGCACCATTCAATTTTCCTCCCCAGTGAAATCATTTACAGGAATGAATGAAAACAGCCTCATATGCTGGGCAGTTTGATATTGATAGGCATGCTCTTTCAGATAACCTTGTCTTAAACCACTTAAGGTTTTAGAGGCTAAAACTAGCTCCTTAAACTAGAATGAAAACAACCTAACTCCTGTAGAACAGATGTAGCAAATAAGCTTAACATGATCACTTAGCTCTTACAAACATATGTGTTGCATTTTGTGCTTGGGAGTGCTTGATCATATATAAGGGCAGTCTTTCATAAAGTATATAATCAAGCCCCAATGATTTAAATTGCAAGCAGGCTATATAGTGTATATGTGAATGATTTTAATAATTAATTAAAAGTAAAAGTAAATTGGACAAACTAGCATTTTTAAGTAAGAAAAACAAATAGCAGGTAAAATTGAATTCCCAGAAGGAAGGAAAAAGAAGCCTGGGATAAATCTAGTTCTTGAGTCCAATAATTTGTCCGCTGAAGCTTTCACTGGAAAGCAAAAAGTAGATATGGGTTGCAGTCAAAAAGCCAATGAACAGTAGCAGCACTTTGTTTCCAGAAATCAGGCAGTATTATTTTTCACTCAAAATTCTGTGGCAAATTCCCCTCTAACAAAATTAATATTCTATATTACCATAGCTAACTTATTGCAGCCTACACTTTTATCAAAGGGAATAAAGAGAATCAACTATAATGAAGGCAAAAAATATTGAAGAAATGCAGCTTAAAGATGGGAGAATATTAGGATTCAAAACAAATATCTATTTTTATCAGTACCCTTTCATTCTATTTATTGAATCAATTATTGTCTATTTCTACTATTGATAGATGCCGTAGGTATCTATCAGTATGTTTCAGATTGCCTAGCATAAATGTTTTGTAAACAACCATGATGGGACTCACTGTATCATATTACAGATAACTAAAGAAATATATCAACTGATCATTTATTCTATCATAACAATATTTAAGGAGAAAAAAAATCAGCATTTTTGTTATTTTTTAATAGGTTAGGTGAGTTATCATTTTGCAAAACAAAGGATTTTACACTTTGAACACCATGTCATAACAGACCAGGGGGATAAATTAGGACCAAATGAAACTGCATTGAGACACACACAACTGAAAGGAGTTATAAGGAATATGTATTTTTGTCACAGGGTAAAAAGAAACTCATTTGTGAAAAGCTCAGGGGGCATTTGTATTTCAAAACTTTTTATCAAAAACATAAAAGCCATGGAAATCCCATAACCCATTAATTAAAAATGTTAGGTTTTTACCTATAAAAAGTATGATGCTCCACACAAACCTTCCATAATCTTTTTGCAGCTCTATGATTTGGCAGCTTGAAGCCAATAGTACTCTCAAACTGTTCCAGCTGATAAAAAATCACACAATCAAATTAATACAATTTTTGAAAACTGTTTCAGCTAGCTAACTGTTTAGACCTCATTTTCAATATTATATTTTTATTATGATTAATTTTCATTACTGCCCTCAATTATAGACACTAATAGTTAAGGAAAACAAAGAACATCCCTCCCCAGTGTTTATAAATACATTTTGAAGGCTTTTACTGGGTGCTTCCAAAAATCCTAGGCCTGGTGACTTGGGCCAGTCATTCTCTCTTAACCCAATCCACCTTACACTGTTGTGGGGAAAATAGGACGCGGGAGTATCTGGTATGTTCACTGCCTTGAGCTAAATAAAAAAATCATCATTGTCATCACCATCACTGTCATCATCATTTCTTAGTATGCAATTTCATTAACTACTCTAAACCAAAGGCTCAAAGGCCTCACTCAGAGGCTACAATTCAAACATAACGTAAATATAGATGAGTAGATCAGCACTTTCTTAGAAGTCTTTTCCATAACATTCAAAATACAGAAAAGCTATTTCTAAACAAGACAAAATTGCTGCAAAGTAGGAACTGGTCAGACATAATTAAGAATGAAAATAATAGTGTCTATATCCATTTCCTGTTATAGTTAATGTTCAAGCAAAAACATGCATTTATTTTTGTATAATTAAGCTTTGCACTGATTTAATGACTTGCATACAGTACACATCTGGGTAGGTGTCAAAAAGCAAGTCTACAATTGATTAGATTACATACTAATTCATTTGTAGACATTTGGAATCTTTTTAATTGCTCATGCATTATTAATGAGCACCAAATGCTTTAAAACAGGTCTTATTGTTCATTACTTATGGATCTGATCTGGTGTATGATTCTGAAATATGAAACAATATGAAAACCAATTGCTGGAGAAATATCAAAGTGCTGGAGAATATGTTTTTAGACATATTCAATATAGAGAACATCTAAGGAAGGCCATGCACCAGCTGAAAGAAGCCCTTGAGTAGCTATGACTGCTTTACACTGGCTCTTCAACAGATCTAATATGATTTAAAAAAAAAAAAATTACCAGGAAGATATACATCACACCATGAACTGTTGAACTACCTGACATGTATTCATACAATTTCTAACATGTGAGTCGTGATATCCATGTACTTACTTCAGTTGGTCGGATTTTAATATAGAAATTACTGCGTTTATAAGAAATCTTCAAAATTTTGGGCCATGCAAAACGATTTATTCGAAGTCTGTCTTTGTAAATGAGTAGCCCATTGGCACAAACCCCCAACATGATATCCACACCTTCAGAATCCTGTCCAATTAAAAATGAAAGCAATTTCAACCTGATTATAGTAGGAATACACGCAGGTAGGCAGACAATGAGACAGCAATAGAGAAGATTATCTTAAAAGGCATAGAAACTTAGCTGAGCAACAATATTAAATCTAACAAAATACTTCAGAAATGAACAGATAGGCAGTTGATAATGGAAATACTGTAAAATAATAGAAGTCATTGCCTTGTTATACAAAGTTGGATATATTAACTGAATATCAAAACAGTGCATAGAAGATAGAAATCCATCATATGAGAGAAAACAAAAACACATTTTAAAAGTCTTTAATGAACAATAATCGGCAATATATTGTTTAATCCAGTGGTTCTCAACCTTTTTAATGCCGCGACCCCCAACTGGTTGCAAGTCGAGGACTACTCAACTGGTCGTAAGTCAAGGACTACTCAACTGGTGCAGCACCATTTGCAGAATGGGACTTTTGGCAGGCTCAGCAGGGCAGAGACAGCCTGGACAATTCCTATTGGCTTTTGAAAGCCAATAGAATTAGACTCTATTCAAGAGAGTCTATTCTATTGACTTTCAAAAGCCAATAGAATAAAAGGGAGTAGCACAGCTAAGGAAAAGGGGAAAAAAATGGTGGACTGCGTTGTTTGGTGACCCCCGTGAAATGGTTGTTCGACCCCAAATGGGGTCCCGACCCACAGGTTGAGAACCACTGGTTTAATCCATTCAATTTTGTAGTGTGCAATATTGTACTTAATATTTCAGGTCATTAACTACCCAAATATTTGGCTAGTAGCCTTCCTATTAGCAAAGGAGATCCATTCTGCTTCAAAACTAAAGCATGGGAGACCCTAGGTTTTTTACAATAAAGTATTTTATAGATGAAATTTCAGGGGGAAATGCAAACAAATACACACTTCTATATGCCACAAGGTGTGTAGAATACTTGCTCTGTGGAATTTTCATTCATCCCATTTAACTTTTCCAGATCATTCTGGAACATTCACTACTTCCCCATCTCCTCCACTGTACTAATTGCAGCACTATGCTTATAAAAATAAGGGAAAGTTCCTAGTAGTGAAACCAGTATGATAATCTTTCATTAATACTGTTAACAATGATCTTTTAAGGGTCCTAGGTGAATAGCAGCTTGGCAGTTTCACAAATATTCCTTTGGGGCAAGTGGTCGGATTTTTTTTTCTTTTTTTTTAATGCCAATAGGCTAATAAAAGTTCTGGGTTGGCAATTTGTTTTCTTTATTGGATAAGGAGAGGATGAAATAGGAGTTTTCCCATTCCAGGATTTGCAATGACTTGCTGGAGATGGCTCTGATTCAGTAGAACCTTCTCTAGCAAACCAGTTAGAAAAAAAAAGCACTGATCACTAAATTCCAAAACCTGTAGTAGTAAAGGCAACCCCACAGCCAATTTATAGAATCTGGGACTAGAAATGGTATTGTGGGCAAATAGCATCACTTAATAATAATAATAGTAGTAAAGTTGGAAGGGACCTTGGAGGTCATCTAGTCCAGCCCCCTGCTCTGGCAGGAAACCCTACACCATTTTGGACAAATGGCTGTCCAGTCTCTTCTTTAAAACTTCCAGTGTTGGAGCATTTACTGCTTCTGGAGGCAGGCTGTTCCACTGATTAATTGTTCTCACTGTCAGGAAGTTTCTCCTTAGTTCTAGGTTGCTTCTCTCCTTGATCAGTTTCCACCCGTTGCTTCTTGTCCTGCCTTCAGGTGCTTGGAAAATAGCTTGAGTCCCTCTTCTTTATGGCAGCCCCTGAGATATTGGAATACTGCTATCATGTCCCCCCTTGTCCTTCTCTATGTTAAACTAGACATACCCAATTCTAGCAACTGTTCCTTATATGTTTTAGCCTCCAGTCCCCTAATCATCTTTGTTGCTCTTCTCTGTACTCTTTCTAGAATCTCAACATCTTTTTTACATCGTGGTGACCAAAACTGGATGCAGTATTCCAAGTGTGGCCTTCCCAAGGCATTGTAAAGTGGTATTAATACTTCACGTGATCTTGATTCTATCCCTCTGTTAATGCAGCCTAGCACTGTGTTGGCCTTTTTGGCAGCTGCAGCAAACTGCTGGCTCATATTTAAGTGATTGTCTACTAGGACTCCGAGGTCCCTCTCACAGTTACTACTATTGAGCATGGTGCCACCTATGCTGTACTTGTGCATTTGGTTTTTCTTACCTAAATGTAGAACCTTGCTTTTTTCACCATTGAATTTCATTTTGTTAGTTAGTGCCCAATGTTCAAGTCTGTCCAGATCCTTCTGTATCTTAAGCCTGTCTTCTGGAGTGTTGGCTATTCCTGCCAGCTTGGTGTTGTCTGCAATTTTGATGAGTTCCCATCTATCCCTTCATCCAAATCGTTGATGAAGATGTTGAAGAGCACTGGGCCAAGAACAGAGCCCTGGGGCACCCCACTACACACTTCCCTCCATATAGATGCAGTTCCATTGAGGACCACTCGCTGAGTACGGCCGGTCAGCCAGCTACGGAGCCATCTGGTGGTGGTTCTGTCTACCCCACATTTTTCTATCTTGTCAAGTAGTAGGTTGTGATCTACTTTATCAAATGCCTTACTGAAGTCCAAGTAAATTATGTCCACAGCATTCCTCTGATCCACTAATTTTGTCACTTGGTCAAAGAATGCACTAAGATTTGTCTGGCATGATCTATTGTTGACAAACCCATGTTGGCTTTTAGTAATGACTTTGTTTGCCTCTAGGTGTTCGTTGATTCGTTGTTTGATTATCTTTTCCAGGATTTTCCCAGGTATTGAGGTCAGGCTGATAGGTCTGTAATTTCCTGGATCCATTTTTTTTCCTTTTTTTCCTTCTCTTTTCCCACCTACTACAGAAACAGCAGAACGGGGAACGGGGCTTTTCCCCCAATAGTATGATCATGGGAAAAGCAGCAATTCTGCATTTGCTTGTGTATGTTGGCGGAGAGAATGTAGCAGGAGAATGCTGTTCAGAAGATACTGCTCTTCATTAAAACAAGCCTAAAATATCTAATATAAATTTCAAATTGTTCTCCAAATATCCCTATCTTTCAAGCAGGAGAAAGAGAATATATAAAAGAATATATACATACTGTAGAGGGTGGATTTAGATTGATTCACACATCTGCTAGAAACTGCATCACATATCTACTTCCCGTATTCTAATCAAGTTTCCCTTCAGGTTGCTTTGGCACCAGCAACAGCACACTCTGCCTTTCCTCACAAACAACAATATCATGTATATTGTACAATAGATATTTTTAAGAACATGACTCTACCACATTTTCTTAAAAAAAAAATTTGTTTTCTATAGAAATATTGACTAATACCTTAGCATGGTGTAAATCCACTCCATACATGGATAGCCGCTTGGCATTTTCTATGAATTGGGAATCTGCCTGCTCTGGAGTCAAACCTCTGCAAATATTTAGAAAAGAAATATAAAAAAAACAATATTATGTTATGTTGCATTATTATTATATAAAAACATAGTCCTTGCTACCCAGATTATGGTCTATCTAAGCCAGTACTTTGTTTCTAGATATGGCCAGTTTTTGCAAGGGGTAGCACTTCTTTGAATCCCGTCCATTTTAAACATCTGCTCTCAAATACTGTATTATACATGCTGAAGGAGAGTCTCTTTTCAAATATAATAGCTTCCAGTCTTTGCATTTGTGAAAACTATCAAAACACACTGGAGTAGAAACACACTTGGCACAGGCATGCAAAAAACTGTTACATCAATACCTGATAGTTGGTTACCAACATTTTGATAATTTTAGAAGCTCAAACAATGAAGGGAAATGCCCTGGTGTTTTTCAAACATCTACTATTTAAGCAAGAAAAAAAGAACTGAACTTGCTCCTGAGGGATTCAAACTGTATTATCTCTCAAAATGAAAATAGCCAGGGCTACTGCTTTTATGAAAATTCTAATGAAGTAATAAAGATGTTTGTCTCAAATAGTACTTCCTGCATTATTGAACATCTTTTTTGTACTGTTGAGCTTCTGTGATGTAATCAAGATGGGGGAGGTCTAGTCATCTTTGTTTTAAAATTTCCAAATAATATTCAGAAATAATTTCATAACCATATGTAAGCTGAAAAATATCTTGCATTTTTAAGTTCCTGTGTTCCTATGAACTTTTTTCCATATGTTTTACTTGGAACACGACGCACCTGTGTGTCTTGTGTAATTCTACTACTTTCTCCTCCAACTCTTTTGTCTGGTTAGGTGCAAAGTGGAATTCCTGTATGTAACCACTATCATGCTCCTCAGGATCAAAGTCACCTAACTCAGCTTGTAAAGTATATGAACCAAGTAGAGCATGGGTCACAAAAGAACATGGTAGACGTCCAGAAGCAATATCCTGACGAAGCTGCAAACAAAGAAAGTACCTGGGAAAAAGAACAATGATAATTATCTAACAAATATTATTTGTTACCTTTTTATCCTAGTCTCTTTATTACTTTATACGTAACTCAAGGTAATGAACATTCATAATACGCCTTCCTTTTATTTTTCCCACAATAACCCTAATATTCTTCTCTATTTTTAACATTTTTAAAATCTACATAAAAAGTAATCTGTAAACACAGAAAATATTTATAATAAAAGGTTATATATTTTAATAACTACAAAACCCCCCAAACACAACCTATTTCTCATATAAAGCTGGAAATTATACTATCAGTGAAGCCTTAGTGCAATTATTCTGGCTACTAGTTTTTAAGTATTATAGTTTTTAAGTATATATATATGTATTCATTCCTTTTCATTTTACACATAAGGCTGCTTAATATTTAGGCAAATGTAGAAAAACCTATTATCATATGACTCTAATAACTGTTCTAAATATTCCCTAACTGGGACACAACTAGAATAAACTATTCTGTTGGCAGATAAGATGAAAAACTGCATGCAGTTGTCTTGAAAAGTTTTGAGAAACATTTCTGTGAAAGTGTAAGTTATAAAGTTTAAGTTATAAAGGTTCTGATTAAAGAACATAACCATAGAAATGTCAGAGTTACATCATCTGAGAACATTTTCTATTACCAAGAAATCTCTTCATTCAACTAAAAAATGATTTATTGAAGTATTCTTTCAATAGTGTTTCCTCCCTGGCTTATCCAGGTTATGATCTATGTTTGGAATACCTGCAGTAGATTCAATATTGTTGCTTTTCTGCTTTAACTTGTTCCTCTTTTTTCAATAAAAACATTACCATTAAATGATTAGTTTTTACTAAATGACATTTATTTGCAGTAATTATTTGTATATACATTTCTATACCAGATTTACAAAAAATATTAGAAATCAAACACAGAGAAAAGCAATAGCAACTAATAGCTTTTTCTGCATTTGACCATTTTTTTTTAGGCTTATGAAATGCAACATTTTACAGATTTTCCAAGAGACCCTAAATAATGTAGAAATTCAATTCAATAATAGCATACCTGGTGATTTCTTCTGTTAATTGTGAAGGGTCAGGTGGGTAAAATTTCACATTAAAGGTGAACTGCCATGGTAAATCTACATTTAGCACATTCCACAGAGAATACATGGGACAAAAAAATGAAAACATTCAGAGTAAACATTATTTTTATCCACAAAAAGGAAAAAATTTAGACACTAAAGATAGAAGAGAAACTGTTTTGTAAGAAAGTGTTTGTATATATTGTAAAATTACTAATATGCCAGCTTTTAAATTGTTTTGTCCATACCATTTGAGATTAATGAATCTCCCTGTGTCTGAGGTCTATATAGAATCCGTTTATTTACTCTCAATTATTTTGCGTGAAAGCATAAGCATTCTTCCCCCTGCCCCCATCCCAATGTCTTAAAGCCTGTACTGGAATTATCACTGGAAGGCACTGAAATAAAAAGATAAGCCATATAAGATCTTCATCTTTACTGCTGCAATTCATCTAAAACATTGAAATATTTTAAAGCCCAATTTCCATTTCTTAATTTCTTGCATGCTGGTACTGTATATAGTTTTTTGTATGAATAGATTTATATCTATCAATAGATATATAGCTATATAGGTATTATTTATATTTTAGTAATAGCAAATTATAAATATTTTAAAAATATTTATATAATTGGAATCTCTAAGAGTATGAAAATTTCCTTTTGAATTTTTGGGAGAGTATGAAAAAGCATCAGATGTGATTTAGAAAATTAACTTATTATCCTGGCACCTCTACAAATTCCTTTAGTTCCTTCTTAGTGGCTAAGTAAGAATTGTTCAAGAGAGTCAAAAACATATAATCTGAAAATAGATTTAAAAGCTATGTGTCCCCCCCACCCTTTTCATCCCACAAATCTGATTATTGGATCTAAATGCTATTGCTAACACTTCTGTGGCTAGGTTGGATAATAAAGGTGATAAAGAGCAACACTGTTGGTCCCTCTTAAATTTGTAATGGAATCTGAATCATAATTATTAAGTCTTATCTGAACTTTAGTTGGTCCATAAATATGTTCAATCATTTTATCAAACCAAGCTACAAATTTATGTTTAATTAATATATTTTAAAATTGTATTTCCAGAGAATTAAAACCTTTATTATATCTAAATAACAAATAGCTAGAGAAGATTAATTTTATTACACTGCATAATGTTTAATAATTTCTTGATGGCACAGATGTATTTCGACTTGAAATAAAACAAATTGATCCATAAGAATAATTTTACCTATAATCAGTTGATTAACTAACAGTTTAGTGTACAGTTTACAGCCCATGTTAAGAAGTGAAATAGGCCTATATGATGCCAAATCCAGGAAATCTTTGCCCAATTTAAGGATCAAAATTATATTAGACTGTTTCCAAAACTCTAGTAAAGGATCCCTTTGGTGCAAAGTATTGCATAAAAATGAAAATTCAGGTATTAAAATCTCTTTAAATTCTTTATAAAATCTCCTTTCAATCCATCAAAGCCAGATGATTTTCCATTCTGAATAGTATTGAAAACTTCAGAGATTTCTGAAATAGAAAAAGGAGATTCCACAAATTGGATGTCTTCTGGAGCCAATTCTGAGAATGTTAATCTATTTCAATATTGATTTTTATTGGTGATTATTTAAGGAACTTGAGCAATACCTTTGGTTTTAACAAAGGTACATGGGAGGTCATCTCTAAAACAGAATACGAATTATTATCAGAGATGAAAACCATTGCTTATGATTAAAGGAGGCCAATTTCATTCACTTCTCCCTCCATCTCTTCATATTTTTATGTCTATTTTTTATTTTTCTAAATTTTATATGTTTCATTATTTTTCAGTAATGATATTTGTTCTCATATTGCAAATATTTTAAAAATATTTGATTGGTCTGTCTAAGGCTACTCTATTGATAATCAACAGTGTAGCTTCAGAACAATGAATTGTTAAAACTGCCGAGCTGCTATACAAGCAAATCATTAAAAGAAACTGTACAGGTGGCACCCATTTGCAGTGCTTCTGTTCCAAATGAACAACAGTGGATAATGAGACTGTGAAACAAGTACTATTAACATGCACAAAAGCCCTTTCATCATTTTCCACATGCATAAATATACAAAAAGGAGGCAAAAAGCATGGAGAACAACGGTCACTGTACATATTGTTTATTGGTCTGCAAAACACCTTATGAGCAGCCTCACAAATCTTACAAAATGCTCACAATAAATACTCCTAAAATATACCAAAATGAAAGAAATGTATTTAGCTAAAGGTAAGGTAACAGACAACTTGGTAAGTATGTTCCAATCACAAAAGTTACAAAGAAGGAGAAAAATGTATTGCATTCTTTGTATGATTAACAGGGAGAGTATGGATTAACAGACGTTGTACTAATACCAGATTAGATTATGCTATTTTTCCAAATGAGCTTTGGAGTATTGTTCCAGATTAATAAAGTATTTGCATCTGTTCACTTTTCAAAAGCCAGATTTTTCTAGGAACTTTTCTAATAGATGACTTGGAAAATTCACCAGATCCTAGGACATTATATACTGATAAAGATTTAATCTAATTCTTCTTATTTAGACTGAAAGATCTAGATCATTTAACACTGCACACACTGATGAAGATTTCTAGCAATCTTAATCTTAACATACTTATAAATACAGAAAATACAGTATTATAAACTTCTGCAACTTTTTATTATATTAACTTGTGGCTTTATTATAAAAGTCTTATTTAAAATGCAACATTACATAAGGAAGTTTGACAAAATTAAATATAATCTAAGCCTTAAAGCATAGAAAGGAGCCACCTGTTTTTTGTACTTAGGTAATAAAAACAAACAAAAAGAAAAACTCATGATTTCAGCCCCATTTTTATACCCATGCATAGAGGGGAGCCAAAATCCTTTGGAAGATAGCATTTTCAGCTATCCTCCAGAAACAAGAGGGAGCTGAAATCCAAACCCAGTGCATGGAAGATAATTCGTTTAGATCCATTTCTGCACCCCACCAAAAGAATTCAGCTTCCAGCCCCCAGAGATAAAAAGGATTTTTTGGAGAATCCAGCAAGAAAGAGTGCAAATGGCAATCACATGATAATGTAGCACTTAGCAACCAGCTGTGAGAATAAGCATCCATATCACAATCACATGCCCATGGGAGTTATTGATGCAACATTATGTGACAACCAGAAATAGTTTACAGGCGCTAAAGGACTACCTGTAGCGTGACAATAAGAGATATGACTAGAGCACTTACTATGAACTTGCTTCTTGATTTCTTTTGAAGAATCAAGCCAATTCTAAAAAAAGAAATGACACATAATGAGAAATAAAATATTTAATATGGATGTTATAGTGTAACTATTATTGATTCATTCAAAATTAGTATATAATATTCTGAGAATTTTTCATCTATTGGTTTCTAAACTGCCTCAACCACTGAAGAAAGTTTGGGTTTACATGTTAGGATTTAAACTTCTACAGAAGTAATAAAATACAAAAACTGATAATAATAGATGGCCGCACATCCTAGAAATTCACCAACTTTAAACTATTGTTAACAAAAAGAAATAAACTGCCAGTGAATAAATCAATGAACCATTCCTATCTGTATTGGAAGAGTCAGACATCCACAACTTTAAAAATCTCAACAGCACTGGGGTCACATGAAGCTCATTGTTTCACAAGACAATAAAGCTACAGAGAATGTATGGAGTAGTCCCACAGCGAGAGAGGAGGTAAATAAATTTAACAAATAAAATAAATAAATATTGCCTAAGTCCCACAAGATCACAGTGCTTTATAATTGCGATGTGAAATGTGCCAATCCTTAAGAGATTTTATTGAACAGGGAGAGATGACAAGAGGAAGACTGCCATGTAGATAATCAAGTCCTAGGCCACTCAGTGCTCAATAAGAGAGAATACGCTGAACTGAATATGTTGAAACCAGCTAGTATCCTCTAAAGCTGATAGAGTAGAAATGTTACATGGGGAAAAAAGGCACACCATAACTGCATGTGTAGCCACATTGTAAACCAGTTGTGACACCTGAGTGGTCTTCAGGGGAAGCACCATGTAGAAGAGGGATTTCAAACTCGCAATGTCATGTGACATATCGCAACATATCACAACTTTTTCCCCATTGCCAGAGCTGGGGTCGGCACGATTTTGGCATGACGCATCCGGCTCATGGGCCGGCAGTTTGACACCCCTGATGTAGAACATTTCACAGGATTTGAGCATGAGGTGATTAAGGTATGAATGACTGTGAGAATGGACTGCCAAGGATGCAATTTTTGCACAAGATAAATTTGTTCAAAGGCCTTCCTGGCCATTACTGCCATTTGCTGTCTGAGCCAGGATCTGAGAATCCAGGAGGGCTCTCAAAGAGATCAGGATTTAAATTGAACTACATCAATTTTTTTACTTTCTTTTGCTTTTAATTTTTTCATTCATTCAAAAAAATGTACAATTTCCATATACTTCACTACCTATCAGTGGTAGACTCTGAGTATTCAAAATAGTTTTCTTTCATTCTGCAAAAGTAAAAGATTGCTGTTTGCTATACAATTATAAAATGTTACTGAAACGCATAAGATAATATTCTTATGAACAAAGTAACTGACTATTTTGTTCAAATTCTCTCACTGTAATTGTTGAGAGAGGTGTATTTCTTTAAAATGTGGTCTTAAATAAGTCATAGATCGATGAGGCAATTTTAAACTTATGTGCAGGCAGAGGTATCTACAGGATCTAATACTTTCATCATTTTGACTTATTTTAAGATTTTCATGTTGATGAAAGCAGTGTTGTGCTCATGCTTTTTCACTTGTTCTCTCCCTCCTGTGCTGACTTAGATATGAATAAGGAACAATTTTTATCTTGGATAACTTGCTGAGCTGAAAGATAACTCTTGTCCTTTCCCTCGGGATAGGAGATGTACATCAAAGATAGAAAAGAGGGGATAATGTTGCAAACCAGATGGAAAACTCAGAGACTGATGTTCCCTGTGCCTATATTAACTGACAATGTAAAATTATTGTCTATATATACTAGCAAACTATTTGCTTTTTTACTAAGACTATAAAATGAAAACGAGATATGTCTCATATTTTTCTGTCTGCAGTTTTCTCTCTAGCTGAGGAATGCTAGTGAGCTAGCTATATTTATTTACAAATACTTTCTCCTGCATAAATCACTGTCTTTTCATGAGTAAGTGAAAGGGTATAAAAAAAAAGTTTTTAAAAAAGAAAGAAACATAAAGACCTCGAGTGTCTATAATTTTTTTTCAACGATATTAGATTTTATGGTCATAAAAGATAATTTAATTGCTTCTTCAAATATGCAGATAACATGAGAGAATTTCCTTTTAGATTAGATTGCCCTCTACTGTCTTTCTCCTTATAAATTGTTTTTCTACAGATATTGCTTTTTCTGTGCTAGTTCATGAAAATAATAGTTCCAGACTTAGTCATATAAGCGTACTGATGTTCAATATCTCTGTAAACATAGAACTCCAATTAAAATTAGAATGAAATAAACTTAATCCTTTACAAAGCAGAAAATCTATCTTTCACAATTATTCATATATAGGATACTTTTTTCTATGAAAAACCTTTGAAATGCAGGTTTTTCTTGCAAAACGTGTATATCTTTTTATTGCCTTCTGTATACTAGTAAAATGCTCATACTATCTACGAGCTAAAAGCTAAGCTTAGACTCTACAAACTAAAATGTCATTCCAGTTAATGTTATAGACTAGATAGTCACAGGGAGAATTCAACCTCTGGCAGATTTGAACCACTGTGTTGACAAAGTGCTGTGAAAAACTGTCAAAGCTGAGAAGTGGAAGATAACACTCTCCCAAACTGGGAGATGCCACCCTAAACAAGCCAATTGGTCAACAGCTCATCCATGTTTCTGTTACTATCATAATGTAGATCTGACCCTGGGTTTGTAGCCATACTCAGTCAGATTTACTGTCACTTTGTCTCTTGGACTCCTTAATAAACCAAGGAGTCAATCAGAATGAATAAGAAAGGCTCCTTATAAAAATAACACAATTTGACCAAACTGTTGAGATATTCCCTAAACGTCTTCAGAAATCTCTCTAGATCTATGTGCTTGAGGCAGTTTATTTGTTTTAGATTTGTGTTATTTTAATTAATTGCTCTAACAATGATGATGTTATTTATTGCAAATATATTTTTAAAAGAAAAGTAAAAATTAGAGTTCAAATGCTTTCAGTCAGCATTCTCTATTTCAGCTGATCATACCCATACAGCATCTAGGCCAGGAGTCCCCAACTCCCGGGTCATGGACCAGTATTGGTCTGTGGCTGTTAGGAATCAGCTGCACAGCTGGAGGTCAATGGCAGGCAAGCGAGCGAAGCTTGATCTGTATTTGCAGCTGCAACTCAGCTCCACCTCAAATCATCAGGCATTAGATTCTCATAGAAGCACGAACCCTGCTGTAAACTGCACATGCAAGGTTTTAGGTTGTGTGTGCCTCCTCTCTCCCCCCCTCCCCATCCATGGAAAAATTGCTCAGTTCAAAATATGACAACAAGAGATAGTATTATATTTACCCCTCTTCTGCTCACAAATCTGAGGGTCTGGACTATAAAAGACTTAATGTTCAGTAACAAAATTCCATATATTACAGAAGTTTCCAGTCTTTTAAAAGTCATTTTTACACATTTAGTACATACCTTCTGATCTGTGTGGTCTTGGAATAACAAGCCAAAATAGTCCCTTTCCAGTAGGTTAAGATGCTGACATACTTTGTCAAACAACACCTGCCCTTTTGCTTTTTTCTAGGAAAAAATAGGGTAAATCAATGAAACATGTATATAATACAATGCTACATATATTTTATTTTAAAACACATCTATACCAAAGAAAACTACTCCATATTTGTTATCATGATTTCAATTTGTTATTTCAGAAAACAAATCAAAAGGGAGTAGATGCTTCATAGTCTATACCCAGCATATAGGAAAGTATTGATTAAAACCATTGGAGAGGAGATATTTATTTAGATAACTAAAATTTAAGTAGGAAAAATGAAAAATCAGCCGTAATTCTTAAAATCCTGAAATACTGGTGTGTATTTAGGAGTCGTTAATGTCTCTTAAAACCTTTTTTTAAAAGGAATCAAATAGATAGTTTGTTATCTGAGTACTTGCTAATTATCAAATGCAGATAGTCCTTGACTTACGACTATCACTTAACAACAGTTCGAAGTTACAATGGGACACACAAAAAGGACTTACAAGCCAGAGTTCTGAGTACCACACATTTCCACGGTCACAAGACTGCATTTCAGGAACTTGGCAACTGAACAAACAACCATTTGTGGTTGTTTGCAGTGTCCCATGGTCATATGATCACACTTTATGACTTTTTGCCGAACAACCATCTTTAGTTCCAATTTTTGGTAAATACATGCCATGGTTATTCATTTAACCAGTATCACAAAAAAAGTTGTAAAATTGGATTGGCTAGACTCCATTATTGTAAGTCAAAGACTGGTACATTACATTTCTACTTGGCCATTAATACAATTCAAAGCTGTCTACAAAATACATTTTACTATTAGATTGTTTACTAACCATAAAATCAAAATTCCTAAGTAAAGTTTTAATATATTTCTTTACAGCTTAAAAGATTTATCTCTGACATTTCTCCATATTTTGGTATAACAACTCATGGTTATCTCAGCACTAACTAAACTGCTCAACTGATTTCTGTTATATTTTGCCTAGTACTTAGTAATGCTTTCACACAAAAATGAAACTAAGGAGTTTTGCTACATACTCAGGCTTGAATTATCTGATATCTTGGTAAGTAGCAAAAGCCTTATTATTTTTGCTCTTTGATTTAAATGTCTAATGATTTTGATTTAAACATTTAAAACAACTGTTAGCCATCAATGTACTATTGTCTAATGTTAGATTTGTAATGAAGAAATATAATACTGAAGTGATTTATAGAATCTTATTTCAGTTCATTAGTTTTCTTTTTCTTTCTTCATTAAATATAACCTTCAGATGTACTCTCAACCATAACCATATAGCCCCAATAAAACTTGAATGAATTAGAAGATAATAAAAGTTAATAGAATGATTCAGAGAGGCTAAGTGAAACATGAAAGAACCAACATTTTTCAAGTCACTTTAACAAGAGATACTCCCCCAACTACATAAAAATAAAAAGAATAACTAGTTTAACAACATTTTAAAGAATATAGGGCATAAGATTCTGACAGAAGAAATCTATCAGAAATAACTGCTTTTATGATCATATGATTTTTCATATTTCCATATGACACGGAATGTCAGAGAAAATTGTATTACTGTTTTAAATACTTTGGGGCAGCAAAAAGTACACAACGGGCAAACAGATAACATTTCAAAAGCTTTGTTTTTAGGTTTTTCTTTCTTCTGCATCGAATACGGAATATAATTTTATTAATAGTAAATTAATAATTAGTACTATTAAATAGTAATAACTTTATTAATTATTGATATTAATGAAATGCAGCATGATATATAACACTGGGTGTAAACAGCCAAAAGGGAAAACTTGGGGCATTCAAAGTACTGTAGTTTAGATTTGAATTAATAAATGTGACCAGACAAGTCGCCTCTCTGTTTTTTCCAGATTTGTTTGAACATTGAAATAGTGTCTGCTACTGGAAGAAATCAAGAGGTGCAGTATGGTGCCTTTCATTTTCAAACAAGTCCTACATCCCAATTTGGCTATTTATGGCATTTTAAAAGCAACTATAATGTGACATTTTTGAGACCTGGCAACCGAAAGGCATTTTTGCAATTGCTTATCACGCAGATTTCGGTAGACGCCACTGCAATTCCAGAGAAGTCCCTCCAAGTGCCTATGTGTAGGCTCTTGCAACACTAAAGTTATTGTGCCTGACAGTCAGAGACAGAAAGCTCTAAACTGAACAAATTATCTATGCTGTTGAGCTATGTGCCACACAGTAGTTGTGAGAAACAGTGTACAAATACAAAGGACAAGGGAGAAAAGGTATGCAATAAAATTACCAAGCTCAATAAAAGCATTGTCTGTTGTCCAAAAGAAATCAAAGCACATTCATGCTGAACTGAACTGCTCAATTTATATTCAGCATTTACAATTTTAACTGGATCATTCAGTATTACATCCCATCAGCTGAAACATAAGGAATAATGCAAATAACCCCTGAAACACAAAACTATTTCTAATAATATACCCAGGTACAATTTGGGGGGAAATGGTTTTTTAACTTGTATTCATTGTTCAAGAGATTTTACCGAGTTTTGCTGGTCACCTTACATTTCAATTTATCATTTAAACAGGACTTTAAAATTTAACAAAAAATACATCCAAAATATTTAGGTAACCTGGTTTAAATTGGATTAAACATGCGGAAAGTTCCAGTTTAGACTTGTATTTTAAAAAGTACATCTATCTGCCAAACATATTAAATTGAGACTTGAAAAGGGGGATAGAAAGAAGTGAAATATAATTGGCTATAAAGTTAGGTATCACCGAATCACATAATCCATGTACTGTTATTATTATTATGCTTCCTACTTAATTCACAACTACTAACTCTTCAATGTCCAGAAGATAATCATAGTGTATATAACCAGTTAAATCTTGTATTTTTATTTTGTGACTGTGGTGCTACATTTTTGGTTCCCAAATAATAATATTTAAGATTCTAGTATGTAAAAATCCTGGATATTTTACATTTCAATATAAATACTATTTTGTCAAATGACTCTCAGCACATAAAATTTAATTTAACACCGTTAGCTTATGTTTCAAAACATCATTTTACTTGGCAGGTTATCATTCAAAAACTCCCTTCTCTGAGCAAAAATTCTACAACATACATGCATTAAACTACCATTATATTCTTGGATAGTATTTAGTTAATAGTATTTTGTTGAAGGCACAAATAAAAAAAATACTTTTGTTGAAAATTTTGTTAGGAATGTACTGAGAAAATATTGATATTAAATTTATCATCTATTATTTAAAAACTGATTTATAAGAAAAGATTTAAATAAAACAAATTCTCTTTAATCAGAGCAATGAGCCATTAAAACTAGTATCATGGACTAGCAAAATGGCAATGTTTAGTAGAAAACTTGCATGAACTAAATTCTAATCTGCTGGAAGCTTCTCAGTTGTATTTTGTATTAAAAGATAGATGTGAAAAACTGTCAGAATAGATGTTATATACAGCTTCAGTCTATTTCAAGTTCAAAATAAAAATAAAACAAGTATGTTATTTCATTTTATGTTATTATAGCTATGTCTCCAAATTTAACAACTATATTCATCATTACCAAATCTTTTTACAGAAAGCGCGCAGAGTTTGAAACAAGAAAAATACTTGGAATAATTTAAACAGAGTTTATAAGTTTTAAACTATAAATAAAACATTTTATTTTAGCATTTTACCAGAACATAATGAGATTGATTTAAGAATATTTGTTTAAAAACATGCTTGATATAGCTTATTATAGCCAGGAAATCACTGGCAAATTGTAAGACATATGGTACTTGAGCATTTAATTTTTTATAAGATAGCAAGTACACTTTTGCACTTCAATCAAGCAAACTACAAAATCCTTGAAACAGTTATGTCATGCTCAATATACTTCAGTTGTTCAGACGTGCATAAAATATAGCCATTCAGTCATATTTAAATGTCCTTGTCATAACATTTTAATTAGAACAGAATGCCCTGTGTAGAACGTTCTAATGAAAACTGTATTTGCTTTGGAAAGAAATTTTACAATAAGTCAGCTGCCTAGATGTCATTATGGCATTCTTTAGACTTGATACTTATATGACTGAGTGCATAAAATGAACTACAATAAAGCTTGTACATAATCTCAAAAATATATTTAGATATTTTAATTAATGAACAACAAGTGCAATTTAGTATTTTCTACTTATTAACAAATACTATACACTATGTTCTACTAAACTGCAAATAACCAAGAATATAGGGCAATGAAAATATTAAACATTCCCTTAACATTTATTCCTCTTCCATTATACTGAAGGCAATTCATCTATAAGAAGGAAAAGGGGGCAGAGAGGAAGCTGGCAATAGTTTAAAACATATATTTGTGAAGCTAGCAGCATTCTTGTATTTATATATCCATGTACATACAGTATATAGATATATCATAAATTTGACTTGGCTGCAACTCTTCTTTTTTAAAATTCAAATATTTAATAGCATCAGAGATAGAATAAGTTCCTTAATTTGGACCAACACATTTACAACATTTTCATAAAAGGAAAGTGATAGAGATAAACCTAATAGGTTACTTCGACTTCTCATACAAGTCATAAATGTCAAGTGTCAATGTTAATATTTGAATTAACAAAATAGTGTAATAGTGAATAGATATACCACAAAATGTACAATTGGAAGCACTTAAGTTTTAAAATAAATAAATGGATGCATCATGTATTTCAATCAATGACTAAAACAAATAATACAAAAGTACCTTTTCCCACTTCATTCAACTGTACATAGAATACAGATAAACACCATGATTATTAGATCCTCATTTAGGGATCAAAGAGCCATGGTGGCACAGTGGTTAGAATATAGTACTGCAGGCTAATTCACTGCTCACTCCAGGAGTTTGATTCTGACCAGTTCAATGTTGACTTCCATCTTTCTGAGGTCAGTAAAATGAGGACCCAGATTGTTGGAGGCAATATGCTGACTCTGTAAACCACTTGGAGAGGACTATAAAGCACTGTAAAGTGGTATATAAGTCTGCTATTACTATCAAGGAAAGCTGCCTTGATATCAAATATATCCAATGAGCAAGAATAGTTTATTAAATTAATGTAATCTTGTCTTCCTGACTGAAGATGGCCCAAACTGCAGCTGCTGCAAGTTTAAACAACCCACAGTAAATGGTCCGCAAGGTTTAGAATCTAGACTTATAGAACTGACACTAATCTCTATGAATAATTTTTTAAAAAATCTGCCCTCTTCTATAACAATTGTTCAGGCATTGTGATCCATGTATGTTTCTGCAATTCTAACATGCAAGGAAAAGAAAAATATATTGCTGTGAAATAGTCTTTGGTAAGGCTTCCTTGTGAATTTCAGAAGGCTGGTAAAAATGTTCCTCTATAGAAAATAAAAAACTATTATACTGCAGCATGTAAAAATGTACTGTTGAAATAAAATTCATTATAAACCTTTATTCTGAGTTTAAATAAATTAATAAATTCAGGTACATAGTTTTAAAAAGCTGTTTTATACATTCCATCTGAGCATCTTCTGCAAAAACGCATGTCAAACTCAAATGAAAGAACTGATTATTAATCATTTGTACATTATAATAACCATTTGAATTTCAAAGGTAATTGCTAATCTTCTCCAAAAGTATATAGTTTAATATTTAAAACAGGTTCAGTGCCAAAGAAATTGAAGGTAGCTAGTGCAATACCAGTTTTTAAAGAGAGCTAGCAAGATCTGGAAAGGGAATTATAGCCCTGCCACTTTAACATCTGCTTTATGCCACTTGACAGAAGTGGTAATCAAAGAAAAAATAAATAGGTTCATAGAAGAACAAGCTTGGTTGAAGAAAAACCAGCATAAGCAAATTCTAATTTGCCAACCTTTCAGAGTTTTCTAAGAGTAACAATAGGACCAGGATGGAGGTAATCCTGCTGTTACTATATATTTGGATTTTCAAAACGTCTTTAACAAAATTCTTTATCCTATGACCACTAAGTTTCTGAAACT